AATATCATTGATACATGCAAAATAATTGTCGAATAAATTTTAAACATTTTGCTTTTCCTTCATCTTATATTTGATTATAGAAATTGTCAATTATTATTATTAATTTATTAATTGCAATCAAAATTTATCCTAATTTTCTATTTATAATATTTCTATTTTGTCAATTTCACTTGTTTTTATTTTACCTATCCTTTTATATTTGCCAGCGTAAACATTAACGGAGGAACGTTTTTGTTTCGCAATCGAATGTGAGAATAAGATCAAACAGCTGAAGCCGAGAGAGGACTATATATATATTTAATCCGGATGGTATTAATGTGGAATGCCTAAAACGCATCTTGCGTTTATCAAACATCCCCATATGCAATTTATTCGAATATTGTTCATCAAAAAAAAGTTATCAAGTACAATAAGCAATAAATAATTTCTACCCATTTTTAAATTAAATAATAGAAACTATAATAAAAAAAATTCAAAATTTGTGTATTCCAATTTGCATAATAAAATAAAATTTCCAAACGCGATTTTTATGCAATATTAAAGATGAAATAAAAATAATATTGACGGAAATAAAGATTTTGGTAATAATTAAAAATAAAATAATTTTTATGCCAAACAAAGTTTCAATTCTTAAATTTGTCATCGAGCAATATTTTAACGCAATCAATCCATTTAATATCCAAAAAATAATCGTGATATTTAATTCTGAATTTAATTTTATTTTCAATATAGATAAATTTGAATAAAGTAACTTGATAATTGTAGACTAGCCGACAAAAAGATCATCTCAAATAAATGTGTAAGGATTGTAAGCATATAATTCATCTCTTGAAATCATTTGATTTTTATATATGTAACATTTTTATTCAAGCATTGTCAATTAAATTTTAATATTATAAAAATTGGTGGTAAAAATGTTTGAAATTATTAAAAATATAATTCTGATTTTTTTTCTGCTTTGATATTTATTATATTTTCAAAACTTGAGCGAAACGGGACAACCCAAAGTGACTTTTATTCCATAAAAATATAAAATATGTAGGGTGTATTTAAATAAGTGCGAGAATTTTGGATAATTTTTTATCGAAAATTAAATGAAAATTAGTTTCTTATATAAATATATATTCTTTAGAAAATATGTATATAAGGAAAAGATATAAAAGTATATATTTATATATATAAAACAAACTCCCTCTAATTTTTGACAAAGGATCACCTCCTAAAATTTTTTATCTTTATTTTGAGATACACTTTGTATATATTACATAAATTCTTAGAAGTGCATAATATTTTATATTCAAGTATCGATTTTATAGGGTTCCACTGATCTCTTTTTCTCTTATTTCTTTTTGGATCATTTTTTTATATTTTTTTATTATTCTGTATTTTTCAGACGTATATTACGACCTGGACTTGCACATATGCGAGTTACCCTACAAAAATAAAAACTTGTCGATATTCAAAGTTGCTATCGAAATATTACACGCGGATGCACAATTAAGGGCACTTTTTCGAAAAAAGCAATATTGTCAACGATTTGACCAAAATGCTCAAACGGCTTTCGACCGATTATTATTAATTTGTACTCTGCTTGCATTTAAGTTTTGTTGTTTTGTAATTTCTTAATATTTTAATTAACTTAAAAAGAGGATCTAAAATATTATTTAATAACTTAATAAATGTCTCGTACATATTTTTAAGCTTTAAGTATTAAAAGATTTAAAAACGAATCTATAACAAAATAAAAGAACGAATCTATAAGAAAAAGAACACAGAAAATGTTTTGAATAATATACGCTAATCGTTAAATATACATTTTTATTTTGTCAAGTTTCCTATGTGTTGTGTATAATTTTCTCTGTTTTAACTTATTATTGAAGCCTTAAATTATTGTTCCAGTATTGTAGGTACATTAATTATATCCTCTTCACACATCTTTTTTCCTATTTGCTAAAAATTGGTAATAATGAAAAAGGAAGTTTAGTATTTACTCGATGTTATACTTTTCATATACTTTTTTTATCATATTATACGTTTATTGTATTTTGACATATAAAATAATTATAAAAGCAAATGTATATATTTCACATACGTATATTTATATAATAATTACATCTAGCCACTAAAAACACTTTTATTTTCAATATTAATGCTACATGATTAAATTAAAAAATTAGAAAATAATAATAAAATTTTTTACAAAAAAAAAACTCCCGACTGCTGCCAACAAAGTTTTAATGTTTAAATTAGAAAATAATGTTTAAATTAGAAAATAAATAAAAAAAAAATAATAAAAAAATTAGAAAATAAAAAATAAAAAACAATTAGAAATAAATAAAAAAATAAAAAACAAAACAAAAATTAAAAATAATAAAAAAACAAAAAAATTATAAGTATAAAAAATAAGCTTGTAAAAGTTGGAAATAATCACACATAAATAAAGTCTGTTGTTTATTATATAATTTTTCTTATTTAAATTTATTGTTATCATACATATTTAGCGCTATATAATTTACAAAAATTTCAGATTTTTGAATTCAAAAAATTTTTTTAATTATAATTATTATTATTAATTCTACAATTTACAAGAGCAGTCGGGAGACGCCGCGCGTCTAAAAACTGTAACGTCCGTTGAGTATCGATATTTGTGTTTGTGTCTATTTATTACATAAAACGTGCGCGTGCGTATATGTCTCAAATTTAGCGCGGCGTCTCCCGACTGCTCTTGTAAATTGTAGAATTAATAATAATAATTATAATTAAAAAAATTTTTTGAATTCAAAAATCTGAAATTTTTGTAAATTATATAGCGCTAAATATGTATGATAACAATAAATTTAAATAAGAAAAATTATATAATAAACAACAGACTTTATTTATGTGTGATTATTTCCAACTTTTACAAGCTTATTTTTTATACTTATAATTTTTTTGTTTTTTATTATTTTTAATTTTTGTTTTGTTTTTTATTTTTTATTTATTTCTAATTGTTTTTTATTTTTTATTTTCTAATTTTTTTATTACTTTTTTTTATTTATTTTCTAATTTAAACATTATTTTCTAATTTAAACATTAAAACTTTGTTGGCAGCAGTCGGGAGTTTTTTTTTGTAAAAAATTTTATTATTATTTTCTAATTTTTTTATTTTCTAATTTATTTTTTATTTTCTAATTTTTTTTTTTCTAATTTATTTTTATTATTTATTTTCTAATTGTTTTTTATTTTTTATTTTTTTTTGTTTTTTATTTTTTATTTTTTATTTTCTAATTTTTTTATTATTTTTTTTTTATTTATTTTCTAATTTATTGCTGTTCTTATGCTGTTTCTTCATTCTTTTGTCTCTCTGCTTCTTCATCCTACACATGTAAAAGTTTTTATTATGTAATATATATATTACAATGTATATAATATAATAATAATAATAATAAAGACACACATACACTCACCATGTGACTGCAATGTTCTATATTCTTTCCAAATATTTTTCTGCTACAATTTTTAAATTAATATAATATAATATAAATAGAGAGATAAATAAAAAAAAATAGCTAGATAGATAGATTGATAGATAGAGAGAGACAGATGACAAAGACAGATGACAACAATATCTTATATCAAATACATAAACTTGTACGCAGTTATAATTATGGCTTTGACAAATATATTAACTTTCTTATGGCTATATAAGTTTATACATTATGTAATCACAAGTAAGTTTATATATTTGTATAGCCTTAATTATTATTACATATGTGAATAATCTTTTGTAGTAGATAATTGGCTATGTAAGTTAATATATTTGTCTGCATTGCCATAATTATTGGTGCGCTAATATCTTTGTATAACTATAAATATATTTGTATACATATTTTTAATTAATTATATAATTATTATATAATATACAAATAAGAGAAAAAATAACTATATACATTTATACAATTATATATGTGGATATTTATAGCAATGTGGCTACGTAGCAAATTTAATAGCAAATAAGTGGCTACGCAGACAAATATAAATTCATATAGCCATGTTATGACTACAACAGATTAATTATATTATTAATTATATTATATATTTTTATTAATTATTAATAACAAGACTTACTCGTTTTCTATTATTAATAATGTTTTCTTCTTCAGATATCTTCAAGCGAGTATCTTCTTCCTACATATAAATAAAGAAACAATAAATAAATAATAATAACAATATTCTAAATAAAGAAAAAAACAATAAATATAAAAGAAGAAACTTACTCCTTTATTTATATCTTCTTGAGATATATCCATAATAATACACTTCACTTAATATTGTTGTTGACAATAACACGCAACAGGTGACAGCTAACCTATCCTATCAGTCCCGTCATTATTACTTCGAGATGTATATACCAATGTCACCAACATTCCCTATCCGGATACTACAACGAATCTCATTGGTGAATCATTTTTCCTCTTAGGTTCACACAGCAGCCAATGAGAGACCGTATTGACGAAATAATACTCATTTTTCACTTTTTATTAATAGAATAAATAACGATAATAATACGCTTTAAACCTTCCTTGATTAATAAGAAACTTATGTTCCAAAGTTGATATAAAACTATGCAGTAGTTATCGAGAATTAAGGTCACGACCGATCCGGGCTCGATGAAACGCATACTTCCTCTCTTTTCGCCAACCTACGGTTGGCAGCAGTCGGGAGAAAAATTAAATTTATGTATTTATGTACCCCTGCGAAACATGAAAGAAATACTTAATAATATATAATAGATTCTTTGATTTCTACAAAACAATTTTCAAAATGAACATAATCGAAGAAATTCTCGAATATTTTTATAAATAAGTCAAATAATCTTCGAAAAGTGAACCTTTCATGGTTGGCTTCATGCGCAGAATCGTCATTAGTCAATCGGAAATCTGAACGAGAACACGTGACTTTAAACGATATTTGTCTTTTTCTCACTAAATGAAATTCCCCAACACCAACAACTTCCCAATTCGTTAAAGTTGGTCTTCCATCAGCATTTCTCTCAGTCTACGTGATACAATCCAAGCAGCAACTTTGCCATTATATACACTACGATGGCGGAATGTTCTACGTATAATCGTAAGTTCTAAAATATTATATAAAGTAACATAATAAATCTATCGCCAATTTATCTCTAATATCACAATTTAATAAATAATAGTAATAATATTAATAAAAAATATTTGTTTTAACTCAAATATTTATTTTTTATTACATTTTGAATAAAGTTTTTCGATCATTTAACTTAGTGATAGTCATTTAATAAGTTTTGCGATCCGTTAATTTCAATTGTTGTAGAATAATGTGCTTTATTTAAAGGTCGGTTAACGTTGATTATATTTTTTCGATACACATAATAATTCATAGTGCTTATGTAGATATATTAGTAAACATGGGCAGATATTCCAATATCTTTCGGATACTGTTATTTAAAATTTTCTCTATTCCCTATTTCTTTCTCGATTGTCTTTTATTATTGAATTCTATATATTTAAATATAAAATAAATTAACATTTGATTTTTAGAAGTTGATGAACGGATATCTAAAAGAATTTTTACTATTTCTCTTCTTTTATCTATTTTCAGATATAGATTATCAATTTATTTATAATAAAGTTTACATTATAAAAAATATTTGACTAAAGCGAGCAAAAATTATAAAATACATGTATCGCATATTTTCTCTAGTAATATTGCAACTTATTTATATTTTCTTCAAGAATATTTTAATAATTTTTAGGATATACATTGTTGCTAATCTTTTATCATATATTTTAACAAATTTTAAATTAAATTAAGAATTTTTGCAAAACAAATCATTGTCTTGCAAATTACTTGTCGAATAATTTTAATGCTATTCAAATAATATATTGAATTTAATTAGATTCTGATGAGATTGTAGAATAAATTATGACTTTCTATTTGTAATATCTCTATTTACTATCTTTGTTAGTTCAGCTTAATTATCACATTTTCGTTCTCCATGTTTAGCAACAGTTCAGATAGGACGTTTTGAATTCAACTTTAAATGTCTGCAGAAAATGATTTGCATAATGCCACAGAAAGAATTTGTCTTTAGTTCAGACAGCTTATATGATGGACTTATGATGGTTTATCGTGCATCCAGCGATGAGACCAAGGAACAATTGAAAAGTATCCTCCAATTACCGATACATCTTGGAGCAGAATTTTGGGCATTAGATAGAATTGTGGAAAATAGAAAAGTGAAAGGACAAACACAGGAACATGTGGTAAAGAAATTTATCTGTTGTTGTATTAACATTTTTCCACAACATATGTAATTTAACCAATTATTACATGCATGATCAATGATTATTAAAGTATTTAAATGTATTATTATATAACACAATAAAACTTAGATTATTCCTGCTTTTTCTAGTTGGTAAGATTGCTTTGTAAGAAATTAGCAATTGATTGAGGCTAAACAAACATTTTAATAATTGTAATAATTGTGAAATAAATTATTAAGCGGGACCAAAATTACCAATACGTTTTTAAGAGAAATAGATAGTCCAAAATTAACAATTTTATATTCAATTAAATTTTGTCATTAAGCAATTATTAAACAATAATGTATATTTAAATATAAAGTATTATAATTACTGTTTTATTAATCAAAATATTTCAATCTAATATACATAAATATGTCGATAATATTATGATTTTATTAAATTATATTACATATAATGTTGTATTTAATAATATTAGACTAAAATATAATGAAAATGATTATGTGGAATAATGTTGTATATAATATAAAATTCTACTGTTAAAATTAAATCTATGTAATCTACAATTAAAGTTAAAGTTTTTATTTAAAAGGGATAAGAATTTTAAAAATTGTTCCATTTATGCTATTATTTATTGATCCAGGATAAAAACGTTTATTGCAAAAATCATAGTTGTTGGATTCAAGACATCAAATGTTATAAAAAAAATAAATATATAACTCCTGAAAAATGCAGATTGTTTAATCGTTCCGAAATTCATAATATAATGAATCATATTAATGAAGAATTAAACGAGATGCAGATTTACATCCCTCAACCTGTGGTATTTAGAACATTTACTGACAATATGGACTTTATTTTATCGAACGAACTTCGGTTCAATATCCGCCCTATGTGCGAAAAGGTTACAACATGTAAATATATAATTTTAATGTTATTTAATATAAGTATATATTTTAAATCTCTCTTATCTCTCAAATCTAATTCTATATAATAAAATTGTTTTCTACTAATTTTATATTCATTTATTATTAATAAATATTATATACTATTATTTTTAAAAATAAATAATTATAATATATACATTATATTTTATTTTATAAATAACGTTTGATATAAAAATTTATAAGAATAATATTAATCTAGTAAAAATGTTAGTATGATAAAACAATTTCTACAGTTGTTTAAAAGTGAATATAAACGCACGCACACACATGTACATTTCTCTAATTTATATGAATTTATATATATCATTTCTAAATTTTCAATATATGATCAAAATGTGATTAAGTCAATACATTTTTATTTTGAGAGTGCAAGAAACATATACGGATTTTAAAAATTGTTGATATAAACAAAAATAGTATATGCAGCAATGTAATTCCGCTTCCATTAACTTTTATCATATTTTTCTTACAATTTTTCAGACATATCTCGCAAATTCGGCATGTTCGTGACTAAGATATTCTTATCATACCGAACGTCGCTGTTCACATTATTTCCAGCTGTTCAGGAATTATCAAAACCTAATATCTGGAAAATTGATGAAGATATTTCTGGATTGGTCGAAAGATTGGCAACTAAAGAAGGAGCCGAAATGCTCCGTGAAATACTGTCTCCGAAGGTATCATTGGAAGAGTTGCCGGATAAAATTACGATATACCCCGATTACTTCGAACTGGAGCACGAATTGCCAATCGATCAGTTGGTGGAAATGTTGGATATCAAACGTGTATTAAGTCCGGAAAAGGCCAGTTTGTTTGGTTTTACTCAAGAAAATCTGCATCTCGGTGGTGCGAATCATCGTGCATATATCAAGTTTACATCAAAAGACGTTACTGCTAATGCAATTAATATATTCTATACCGAATATGGAGGGTCCCTTTCATCTTTCCAAGAAAATAACAATTGCACTCAATACAAAAATTCGTTTGTCTGGATGTTGCATGACCATAATAAACAAAGGATTCTTTTTACTGGCGTTGCCATTAAAAATTGTTAAGTAACTTTCTTTTTAGCTTTTGTTTGAAATATTTTGAAAACAAAGTAGTACAACTACACTTGTTTATAGTGATGTATTTCTAATATTTTATTTCAATTTTGTAAAATATATATTAATTATACAAAAGCTTAATTTTGATTAAAAATACTCTAGAATCACGTACTTGTTTCGAAATTTGCTAGCATTATTTATATTTTAGAATCATTTTGCGTTTTAGATACAAAATAAGTTTAAAAATATATCTTCGTCATACTTACATCATAATTTGTGTATCGTTGTATATAAAATATTAAATATTAAATATGTAAAATGTTAAATATTATTCTCATATTTCATCGATAATAGTACGTCGATCGAAAATTATGCATTTATTCTATTTGCCAGAGTGAAATGCCGTTTTTGAGTTTGTTGAATATTAAGTAAAATTTGAATATATACATGTTTGTAAACATAAGTTAGAATTGCCTTCATTAATATCTTTTTATAACCATTTTATATATTATTAATTTTTACTATCGTACTCTGTGTCTAAGATTATATTTAAATTTTAATTATTATTTAATTTTATAATAAATGTAATATGTATATAATAAAAAAAATTTATTCTCCATAAAGAAATGCAATAAAAATCACGTAAAAATTCAAACTTTTCTCTTAATAAAATGCGCTTCGACGGAACTCGATATGATATTTTTTCGCTGAGTTAACTCGTAGGTTAAAAAAAGTTGGATTTCTTAAGACAAATTGTGCACCTGCTATATACCTTTAAACCGTTACACTTCTTTTCAAGAATGCTGCACTGAATGCGGGATGTCCCGCCAGTAAAACGATGCAAATCGTTTTGGGCATCTTGTTTGAACAAAAAGAAAAAAAGAAAAGATAATAAAGAAAAAGGTCACATTGTTAGAAATCACATCTGTGTTTGTGTATGTGACTTCCTTTATATCGTCTTTCCTTCCTTTTATTTATGGGCAGGAAACCTTTCCGAATGTATATGCAGGGTGCAACGTGATAATCCATGCTTAAACTGTGTGTTTTCTTGGTGTCCATTCTAAGTCCAAAAGTTGCGAGACAACCTGTATACCTATATCAGTTTTACTTTGGGCGTGCTTGGTTTTAGGGTAAAAAATTGCCTGTTACGAGAAAAATAGCTGTTGGATAACAAATACCAGATATATAAATGATACAATGCAATGTTTATTTGCAAATGAATTAGAAGTAGTAGCTTTTGACAAAGACTCTATTAATTTAAAAAATCGGATAAATGAATTGTTGAGAATAAAGACGCAGGGTTATATTAATAAACTTGCGAAATTAAACGTGATATACGAAAACATGGAAATTATTTTGTCGACTGTACTCGGCTTTAGAAGTGTTGCATATCAACAGGATTTCTTTGCCAACGTATCAAATATATTTTTGATGAAACAATCCAAAACTGGTAAATATTTATCATTCATTTTACTTCTCTTCATAAACCTTATTTAATCAAATTCCATTTAATTAAATTGATTTTCAACAATTGAAAAAATAATATAATTTGCGAATGACATTTAATATTAAGTTTTAAAATAATAATTTTGGTTTATAAAAAATTGAGGAAAATTAAACAATAGCCACATTTGTTTCAGATTACACACAAACACATACATATCTTTGATTTTTTGCATTTATATTATTTCTAAAATATGATTAAAATGTAATTACACAAATTACTTTTTATTTTAAGAGTGCAGCAAGCATTATTCTGATTTTTAAATATCGTTGATGTAAAAATATTGTATTGTGTTAAAATTTAATTCCGCTTGCATTTATTTATATCACTCTTGTCAGTCTCTCAACATTTTTTTTTAGTTTTATCTCCCAACCTAGATATCTTTGTGACAGAATTATCATGCGTAAATAAGACTCTGTCGCTGTTCCTTTTATTTCCCGCGGCGCCAGATTCAAAAACTAAAAGGTGAACAATTAATAAAGACATTACAGAATTGATTGACAGATTGACGACTACAAATGGAGTCATTGAACTTCGTAGAATTCTAGATAATGAAAAGTCAGCAACAACAAAAACTCCATAATATAATATTACAATATATTTTTATAAAATTACATTTATATATATATATATTAATTATACATATATAATACATGCATATACATGTATATACATATATATATGTGTATATTATATAACACTCATTTTATACATATATGTATATTACATATAATAATAATAATATACATATACATATATACAAAGTATAATGCGTATGTATATGTATGTATATATTGGGTTGTTCAAAAAGTTATTGCGTTTTTTCATTTAATTTTCAGGTGCGTTTATTTAATATACGTAATGAACATTAATCAATAATATATTGGCCGTTTTGTTCAATGACCTTTTGCCATCTCTCGGGCAATTTCATAATACCGCGTTCATAAAACTTCCTATCTTTCTCTGCGAGAAACTTGTCAAGGTGCTGTTTGATGAGGTCTTCAGAAGCAAACGTTTTACCGTTCAAGGAGTTTTGCAAGGAGCGAAATAGATGGAAGTCTGATGGCGCAAGGTCTGGGCTATATGGTGGATGTGGCAACACATCCCAACCAAGCTGCAATAATTTTTGCCGAGTGACCAAACTTGTGTGTGGTCTCGCATCGTCGTGGTGAAACACCACACCCTTACGATTGATCAGCTCGGGACGTTTCTGTGCGATGGCATCACTTAATTTCTGTAGCTGCTCACAGTAGACATCGGAATTGATCGTTTTATTCTGTGGAAGCAGCTCATAGAAGACTGGTCCCTTCCAATCCCACCAGATTAACAGCATCACCTTCTTTTGGTGGATGTCCGCCTTTGCTTGCCTTTCCGGTGCTTTATCTCGCTTACTCCAACTCCTTTTTCGGCTCACATTGTTGTAGACAATCCATTTTTCGTCGCCCGTGATCATACGCTTCAAGAACGGATCGTTTTCTTCGCGTTTGGTGAGTTGATCGCAGACGTTCATACGCTTTGTCAGATGAATTTCTTTCAACTCATGCGGTACCCAAATATCGAGCTTCTTCACGAAACCAAGCGATTTCAAATGTCCATGAACACTTCCAATGGACACTTTTAGAGCGGTAGCAAGCTCCCGAACCGTTGAATGCTTATTTGCTTGCACCAATGCCTTGATTTTATCGTCGTCAATCTCGGAAGGCCTACCGGAGCGATGAGCGTCTTTAACCGAAAAATCACCACCACGGAATCGGGCGAACCAGTTCTGGCACTGACGTTTTTCAATGACATTCTGCCATAAACTTGACGCAACTCTTCCCTTGCTTCAGTTGCTTTCTTCCCTTTTTTAAAGTAATAAAGCAAAATATGGCGAATATGCTCTTCAAAATTCTCCATGTTTAAACTACAATTGCAAGCACAAAACTCGACTAAATTGCGTCAACTTTTTTTTGGTTTTTAGGTTAAGTGTCAACAACAAAATGTGCATAAACATTTGACATTCATGGCACGCTCAGATACAAATAAATGTGGACAGCGCTATCTATTGGAAAAAAACGCAATGACTTTTGAACAACCCAATAATATATATATATATATATATATATATATATATATATATATATATATAAGTTTTCTTCAAAATTCTCTCATATAAATTATTTCGCCATCAGTCGTATAGAGATACTATATGTATAATACATTATATCAAAATTAATTTTTTTTTATTTTGAATTTGCTATATGACATTTTTATACGAGAGATGGTAGAATATTTTCTTAATTTTGAAGACTTTATTAATTAATATTTCTTTATTTATTAATTATATTTATGTAAAAGATTAATTTTATTACAGTATATTAGATATTGGAGTATATTTTCGAATTTATTATACAATATATTTATAATATTATCATATGAATGCTACATGATTATGTTGCAATAGATAAATTTTTTGACACTCAAAGACAGTCATTCACATTAGTTTATCACACTGTTTTTGACGAGCTAGAATGATTGAAAAAATTTTCCATTTATTATGTTTATAACACAAAAAATCGAATTTGTAATTTTAAAATGTATAAAGTGTAATTTTAATAGCAATAAACCATTTTTAATAAATAAAATAATTCTTCATATTATTAGAAATGTTTAACATTTATATACTATAGAAATTATATATTAATTATAATTAATTATAAATTTAAATTTATATTTATTTTTCTTCAAATTTATATGTTACGTATAAGTTTTTTTTCCTTAACTTTTGCCTTTAAATATTGATTTTAAATACTGTTGTGTGCCTCGTGTAAGGCATAAAAGGGGTCGCGCCAAATTAGGATGAGGATCCGGGTTGTCAGGGCTTGTATCGGGTGATTAAATAAATGCACTTTAAAATTTTCACTATTAAAGAACTCTTATTCCAATTAACCACTTGACGTTTTCTTTATTTCAACAATGTTACACTTGTACGTTACGTATATCAGTTTAGCGGCACTATTTAACTATAACTTCGCGTATCGCGCGCGCGACTGCGAAAAGATGTTATAGATCGCACGCGGCTAGCGAGGTTGCTTTAATTAACGACTCGAGAGCGACTGCCGGGCGCGTCTCCTGCTCCGTTTTTATAGTATCGCTTTTTGGAAGTTTCTCGATCGGAAGGAGTGCCTGGCAACGGGCAGCAGCGTATGCGTTTTTACGCGGTCAGTGCCCGTTGTCAAGTGGATGTAACATGAGCAGTTATACCTTAATAGTTATATTTTTTAGGGATATAACAATACATAGAATTTTTTTTACATTTATTTTGGCTTGTACCTTTATTTTGAGAAAAATAGCATTAACATTTAAATCATTTAATCATTGAATTACTAAACACGTTCTCTCAGTCATATATAGTTGCATTGTAAATTAAATTTCGTATTTGTACACCCGTTAAACATGAAAAAATAATTATTAATAAATGTTTAGTTTGTTGACTTCTTTGAGAATTGTTTCGTAGAAAAATGTTTTTAGAAATTAAAAACATATTTCTTCGGATAATGTTATAGTTAGCGAGTTTTTACACAATACAATATATGACTAAATGTCTTTAACGATAACATTGTCTCCTTCTCCTCTAAATATATTAATACATTTCAACACTAATTCGTTAGCCACTTATCATCATTTCAAAATTAGTCGAGACACGCGACACTATATAATCGTAAAGTGATTCTGTCGTTATAAATATTTAAAAATAAACCAGCATGGCAAAAGCACATCAAGTTTCAATACCAATTTGTGAGTATTATTGAAAAATATGATAAAATCACATAATTTTGAAGTCGACTTATCGAATAGATAATAATTTTAATATAATATATTCCTTGCTACGCAATTTTTATCCTTTTTTCCTTTATTCTATTATTTTATATTGTTTTCAATAAATATTTACTTTAATGTATTTTAATGATCGTTGTTTGATAAGCCTTGCGATCCGGTATATTAAGATATTTCAGAATCATGTACTTTTTCGAAATCTATTAGTATTGGTCACTTTTAAAAAATTGTTTCCGTTTGAGATAAATTTAAGATATAATTAATGTCATAAGAATTTTATAAATTCGGTTTAGTGTAGTTAATAAAAATTTAATTGAATAAATGACATATTAGATAGACATTTTATTTTCTAAAATACAATTACTTCATCAAATTAATTGTAAAACATTTATTATTAAATTCCTCTGATACTAATTAATATAACTATTTATCCCGAAATTTTATTTTCTGACAAAACTAAACGAGTTAATTGATGATATCTTATCTCGTTTGACATAATTCAAAGTTCAATAAGCATAGATAAAGATAGATAATAATGTTTCGGAAATTACTATTTCAAATCGTCCTTCTCATTTTTTCTCTTTCGGTTATCTTTTATTATTGATTTTTACAGATACACTAACATACATACATACATACATATACATGTACTTAAACATTTAATTTTTAGAAAATAACTTGAGAAGAAATCTCAGGAATAAAGAATCATTTTTGAATATTCTCCTTTTTTTCTTTTTTTCTGAGATTGCTATTTCTAAATAAATTTTCTGACGTTTCAAATAATATTTAACCGTTTATAATATTTAACATTTTATATAACGTTTATACTATATAATTTTCCATTTTACAGTAATAACTATTTGAAAATATATATATGTAAAATTACATGTTTATTAATAATTATTTAACAATCATAAGCATTAAATTTTGTTGAGAATATTTCATTTTATAAAATTGCTTCTAATTTGCTTCTAATTTATGTTATATATGTCGATTTTTTTTTAATATATTATATTTAAATTATTTCTTGTATAATTGATACTTAATGTTTCAAGTTTTGACAAAAATATAAGCATTACATGATATTTTAACATAATAGCTATATATTGATAGCTGTTATGTAATAATTCTATTTAAAGAAATTTCTTAAAAGTGATTAGCATTTATTAAAATTAGTTATTCAAAAATGCTTCTTTGTTTTTAATCCAAATAATAATTTGACCGTTTCTATATAAGTTTAAATATAAATTCGGATCTGTGAAAAAAATCATGGAGATACAAAATAATAATAATAAAAAATACAGAACAGATCAAGTTGTACTTGCATTTAACATTTTAATAAAATTTTATATAATTAATTGTGACATTCTATTTATATTATTTCTTTACTGTCTTTTGTCAGTTAAGTTTAATTTTCTTTTTGTCTTTTATGTTTATCACACAGCGGATTTGCTATCGGAAACACACTTCGAATTCGCAATCAAATGTCTAAAGAATGTTATGCACATAAAAAAGTCGGAAAATTTTGTCTTCAGTCCGTACAGCATATATGAAGGACTTTTATTGACTTATTTCGCATCGAGAGAGGATACCGAATTATGGTTAAAACGCATATTATTGTACGAGAATTTTCCCCCAAAATTGTACTTGTTACACGATGTGGCAATGAAAATGGTGAGCAACTTTGATACATTTGATCGAATTAAATACATTATTGAGATATGTCAAAATACATTGCAAAAAGATTTGTGCATAATTTATTGTTACATAACATATATTCGAATTCTTAAAATTTTATTTTCAATCTTCATGTCAAGAAGAATAAATATTTTAAGATACATATATACATTATCATATTTTAATCTAATAAAGCTTAAAAAATTCCGCTTAAAAAGTTGATAACAAAATATAAAGATGTTGTCGAATTGTTTCATATGACATTAATGTTTATATTCTCGATTGTTATTCAATGAAAAGTTTACCATGTTAAATAATTATTAAACGTTATAATAAGGATAATGGAGGAATATATTTTTAAGTGATAAAAACAAATGTTTGAAATTCTAATGCTGTTATTAATAAATTTTTAATATGATAAGTTTTTAAATATGTAAAATTTAATAAAAAAAACATACTTTGTGAGTAATATAAATTTGCATCATTCTTTTTACAAATAATTATGTTTTCTTGCACCAATTAATTTAGCTCATCTCTTTATACAGAAAATGATGTGTATATTTATATTTTTTTATTGAGTAAAAAATATATTTTGTAACAAATTGTTTAATCTTCGAAATTTTTAATTTTAGGATAAGAAGTTGCCCAATTGTTATGAGAAAAATAGTTGTTGGATTACAAATTCTATTGGATGTATAAATAAAAAGATGGAGCTCTTATTCACAGATGAATTAAAATTAGTACCTTTTGACGAGAACTCTATTAATTTGAAGAATTGGATTAATAAATTGTTGAGCATAAAGACACAGAAATATATCCATAAACCTGTGAAATTAGACATTATTGGCAAAAATTTGGAAATTATTTTGACAACCGTACTTGGCTTCACAGGCATGGCATATCAAAAAAATGTCGCTGCCAATAAATCGAATACACATAAGAAACATTTGGTGAAAGAACCTAAAACTGGTAAATATTTATTATTCATTATAAATATATATAGTATATATAAATTAAAATATAAATAATTTATTTTACTTATATATGTATATTCACGAAACCTTTCCAGGATACATCATTTTAATGTCAAATAACGTCAGTATAGTACTTGGGTTATTTAATCAAAATATATTTAATCAAATTAATTTTCAAAAAACAATGTAATTTGCAAATAACATTTAATATTAAATTTTAAGTAATAATTTTAATCTAGTAAAAAATTTAGGAAAATAAAACAATATCGACATTTCTTTATAATTGCACACACATTTCTCTGACTTTGATTTATTTATATAGTTTCTAAAAAATCATATAATCGAAATTTGATTATGCGAACCTTTTTGAGAGTGCAACAAGCAATACACTGATTTTTAAAATTGTTAAAATCAAAATATTCTAGACTACAATTTATTATCACTTTTTGTTGACATAATCTATAATGTTTCAACACATTTTTTCAGTTTTATCTCACAATCTAGGTATGCTTGTGACAGAATTGCCATACGTAAATAAGACCCTGTCGCTTTTTCTATTATTTCCTGCGACGCCAGATTTAACCACTGAAAAGTGGAGGATTAATGAAGACATTACAGGATTAATCAAAGATTGACGAATGGAGCCATCGAGCTTCGTGCAGTGCTGGATGACAAAAAGTCATCAACAGTACAGTTGTCGGAAGACGTGATACATCCAGATTTGTTCGAACAGTTGCCGAAAGATAAGATATTATGTCCAGATATTTTTGAACTAGAGAACGAACTGCCGATCAATCAGTTATTAGAAATGTTAAACATCCAACAATTATTGGAACCCGACAAAGCCAATCTCACTGACTTCATTATGAATAAAAATCTGCGTCTCGGTGGTGCCAAGCATCGTGCTCATATCAAGGTGACACGAGACGACGTCACTGCCGGCGCAATTAGCATGTTTTTACCAAAAATGAAGCGTCCTTTAAGTCATTCGTACAGACTGATCGCTCCAAATGCAAAAATACGTTTATTTGTCTGCTCTATTGCAAATATAGGCGCACTATCCTTTTTATTGGCGTTGTTAATAAACTTTGCCCGTTGCCTTCATCAAACAACAAACTAGTGCGCGCCTTTTCTTCTTTCTTCAATTTTTTTAAATAGTCTAAGTAACTCCACAATATAAGATATACATATATTATAGATAGTGCGATAGATAAATTTTTGACTTTCAAACGTTTCAGATACTTATCATTATAGTTATTTTAGTTAGGAGCGATTTATAGGATTGTATGATTTATTATATTTATTATACAAGTAATTAAATTTGTAGTTTTAAAAGTATGAAATGTAGAAATGTAGAAATGTAGTTTTAATTGTATGAAATGTATTTTAAATAAAATAATATGTTATAATATTGTATTAAATGTATATGAAATGTAGTTTATTTAATTAAAATAAATCCCAACTAAACGATTTATATCTTGTATCAATATACTTATCACTAGTTAATCACTAATCTTACTAAACTTATCACTAATCATTAAACTTAACACTAATTAATAATTATATTGTTACAAATAATGCAAATTCAACATTATATAAATGCCAATTCTAATTAATTATAAATTTTACTTTTTTATATTTACAATTTCTTCTCATGCATTGTGTATTGTTTGTTTAAACTTATTGTTATAGTGTAAAATTATTCTTTCAATGTTGTACATATTTTAGCTAAATTTTCTTTTACAATATTCTCCAACAATCATAAACTGATATATTAAAAGTAAAAAAACTTTCACTAGATGTATATAATATTGTTCTGAATATTTTTTCATATTGTCTCAGCAAACACCGATATATAATTGTTACATTGCTATAATAAAACGAAATATAACAGGTAATATAACGTGTACGTTACATGTAACATCCATGCTAGTTGTAATTTCCCACTCATAGATGTAACATTTAATATAACATATATTACATTGTAATTATATACCAAATAGCACATTGATGTATTGATAAGTCAGTGCTATCTTGGGATATAATAACAATATAACTACAATGTAATATATGTAATATTAAAAATGTTACATCTATGAGTGGGAAATTACAACTAACATATACGTTACATGTAACATGTTTAAGTATATAACATTTATATACTGTGTTTGCTGGGGTCTTTATTGTATTTCGACACATAAAAAAACCTGGAAAAGCTTCCTGCGGCTCTCTTTGTTAAACCTTGCGCTTTATTTCAGAAGCATGACCTGTTATTTATGCAGGATAAGGGATGAGCTGGGGCTTCGGGGAGGAAGTGAGAAAGTTGGAGTTTTACTATGTATTCTGTTATAGAGCTGCCTCATTTAATAGACCAAGTGTATCCTTTTGTAAAAAATGGAGCTTGGGTAGGAATCTTTAAGGAATGGGACCTAAGAAAGAGCGGAATGGAAAGAAAGACGGTACCTACTCTTTATTCTTTTCTACCTGAGCTTTAGATTTAGCGCCTGACGCTTGGTCCATTATGTTACCATGTCTATGTAATTTAGTTTCGATTTCGGTTAACACTCAGACAAAAGCCGAAATTCAGTTTTGGTTTCGGCTACAAAACTTCGTTCCGGTCGGACACTAGGAATTTTCCTTATCCTTTTTTTATTTCACAGTGGAGATCATCCCCAGACAGCACAGGTAGATTCTGAGTATATATACGCAGTATTTCGCAAACGTAGATTGTGTATATCCCATTAATATTCGAAATACGTACCAGATATTTTGAGAATGTACGGAGGATGTTTTAATGTCTGCCCTAGAAGCCTACTTAGTATATACTGAGAATATTTCTTGGTATATCCTGAGAATATTTCTTGGTATATACTGAGAATATTTCTTGGTATATCGTAAGTATATTAATAAAATATTTTGATCACATTACCAGTGTTTACTAGAATATCTCTTGGTATATTATCAGTATATTTGTAGAATATTTTAAGCATATTACTAATATATGTAGAAGATAGTTGAAATATATATAGGTGTAAGATAAAAAGTAGATTTTTCATGTAAAAAATAAATAAAAATGTGAAATTATTTAGTGAAATTTATAAGCAATTTATAAACAAAGCTTTAGACAAAAATTTACACTTTTTACTTATTTTTATATGAAATATTTACTTTTTAATAGAAAAAATTTCTCTCGTTTTTATATCACATATATTGCACGTATATTTCATCGTTTTATATCACATATATCGTATATATTTAATATACACATATACATATGTATAATATATTATATAGATATGTATAATATTATATTAATACCTAAAACCTTTGGAGAAACTTTCACTGTACTATACAACAAAATTCGAAGAAATTTCCAAATATATCCGTTTATCAGATCTTTCTTCACACTGTATGTCTTTGATGCATAGAGATAATGAACAATAATCAGTTTCGCTGATGGTGATGCACAAAGGCAATAAAGAGACTTCTATGTTTGTTCTGCGAGAAAGTAATAGAAATGTTAAATTTTTCTTTTTGTTCAATATATTTATATATATATAGTGTACATATCTATAATTAATATATATACATTTGTCGCATAACAAAACATATATTAATTATATGTTAAACACGTATATTTTTTTTTATATATCCCATATGTGTAATTGATTTGCTCATAACTATTAAAAATAAGAAAACATGATAGAAATCATATTTTAATTAATGATATTATTTTGTTAATATAATGAAGCACTTTAACAATTTAGATTCTATCTTAATATTTATATTAGAGCGTAGACGTACATAAAAATTAGTAAAAGTATAAAAACGCTATTAATTTCAAGCCATTCATTTCAAATGTAGTGGAATTTAGAATTAGGCGAAGAATTTACGTTGCAACACGTGATTTTTCGGATAACGATTTTGCAAGATATTAATATAATTAAAGTATTTCAACTTGCACTTTTATTTTTTTGACAATGTTCCAATATTGTAAAAATTTTTTAAGAATAAATATTTAAAAATAAATATTTTTTATAAATTCAAGCAATAAAATAGACAAGTTCCAAAAATATGCGATTTTAAGGTTAATTTGCAATAATATTTTATCGTAATCAAGTATAACAAAAAATGATAAATATATTTTGAAAATATCTTTTATAGAGTTTGAAAATTTCATGCATTTTAAATTAAATAAAAAGCGAATTACCTGTGATTAATATCGATCCAAATTTGGATGAAAAACCACACACGTGTTGCTCACTCATCGTTACGAACACAAAAGAAGAGGAAGAAACTGGCGCCGCACCGGCAATACCGACAATTACGTATCGAACATGGCGTTGCATACACATATCCGCCAATAAATAAATTCGCGTATTCTAAAGTATATTCTTGACATATACAAGAAAATACGAGAAATAATATATTGTAAAAGATGTTTACAGTATATTCTAAGAATATATATAAAAGTATATTTTGAGAATATACGTAAAAGTATATTCTGAGAATATACGATATATATACAAGAAATAATATACTATGAAAGATGTTTACAGTATATTCTAAGAATATATATAAAAGTATATCTTGAGAATATACGTAAAAGTATAATATATTCTGAGAATACTGAAAAATAATATACTACAAAAGATATCCCGAAAACATGCTGAAAATATACGGAAAATGATATACTACAAGAGATATTATAGAGATATTCTCATTATACGTACATTCATAGTATGAATATAGAATATTCGTATAATATCATGTGCTGTCTGGGTCGGTTTCTAACTAAATTTTATGACATTTCCAAGAGTTTTATATTAAATAAATATTAATTACATTCTATAAATACCTTCTAAAAATTTCTAAATAATCTTTAATAGTTTACCTACTCATATATATCAGTTAAATTTTCTTCTTAAATAATTTTTACATCTTATTGTCACAGTAATAAAATCTCTTTAAATTTCATTGCACATGTACGAAAATTGAATAGAGTTATGTACATACATATATGCATATACAAAATAATAAATAACGCATTTAAATATATGTAACATACAATATAGGTGAATAAATTGAAAACCTTAAATATTTTTATCTTGTAATTTATGGAATACAAAAAGCACACATTTTTACATTATTATTTCAGGTAGTCTCCACGAAGTGCAATATGTTGCAGCTGTTCGAAAATGGAAATCTCGAGGCAAAAGGTTTTATATCTGAGATATAGGTACCTAAGAGATTTACCTTTTCTTATTTCTATAAATATTTTTCGCATTCACCGTTTGAGAAATCGTTAATCATTTTCACGTCATTGAATGGAAGGCTAGTCTCAGAGACTAGATTATGCAAAGTATTAGTATTAAAAGAATTTTATATTAAAAGAATTTTGTAAAAATTTCTCTGATTAATATTTTTTCCTCAATAAAACTATTAATATTTAAAATAATAAGATATAAAATATGTTCGATGCATTTTATTATGTACATAATAAAATTTACTACGTACATATCAATATTTTTTATTGCAGCAAATATTAATTAGAGAAGCTCTTATAAAATTTATCCTATTCTATATTGTCCTACGATTATCATAATTTTCAGAATAAATTCTAAAAGAAAATTCTCTCCGTGTACAAAATATTATTCTTACCGCGTATATTATATTTCATGCACAGACAAACTGCAGAATTTTTTTATTAAATAAGTATTGTTACGAACTGACACAAAGAAGTCGATAACAAAACTGTAATTTTTTTATTTTTATATGATTTATATATGCAATCATAGCTAACGCGGTCCGTTTTTATAAGTACTTTGAGTATAAATTTATAGTATTTTTAGTATAATCAATAAAAAGTTATTTAAAAAAAACTAAATATTCGCATTTGGTCAGTAAAAACATACTTCCGGCATTCCCTTAAATCACATTTGACAACACTGTAAAGCAATATCGCACGAGCGACAAAACAGCAGCTATATAATATCATGATCGAGAAAATAAGGGATAGAACTTTGCGTGACTTTGGCACGGTCGAATTCGTGTATATACGACTAATTTATTTTCTAGACAAGGATGGCAGGAGAATTCTCAGATAATGAAACTAATAAGAGGACAAAAATGACAGAGCAATACTTAAATCAAATTGGTGAGACAAAAAAATTTCTACAAAACCTAATAATTTTGAGGCTTATTTATAAATAATTAAAATATGCACATTATAGATAATTAAAATATTATTCTCTTTGTATTATCATTATTCTATATATTTATACATAAATATTATATAGTTAATATAATTGTTCGTACATAAAATTCATAATTTAGTACAATTTTGTGAAGAAGCCACAGCAATCTATTAAACTCTAACATTATATACTTGCGTCTTTTTACTTGTAGTTCATAATGGCACAATTATATTTTAACAGATCTTTTCAAGATAAAGATGTATTTAAAATTAAAAAAAGATGTTTAGAATAATTTTGAAAACATAGATAAATAAAATATAATTTAATTATTATCAAAATTAAAATATTATGATAACATGTGATTAATTAATATTCAGTAGTCATGTTAGTAAACACAATATATAATAAGAGAACTTTTGGTTAATATATAATAAGTTCAAATCTCATCCATAATTTTTTCTTTTTTAATTGTCGTCATAATTATTAACGATTTTACCATCTCAAAAATTTTAAATTATACATAATTTGTAAAAAATCGTATCTGCAATATGCAAAATTATTGTCTAATAAATTTCAGTACATTATAATTTGCACATAAACATTTTTTCTACATATATTGTAAATTACTTTTATCAATTCATTAAATATATCTGCAATTAAATATAACACATTATTTGTAATATCTCTCTTTTGTCAATTTTGTATATTTTATTTATTAAATATATTTTCTATTCCAGAGGAAATATTGACAAAAGCACGTATCAAATTTGCAATTAAATGTCTGTGTTCAATTATGGATCTAAAGAAAAATAAAAATATCGTCTTTAGCCCGAGTAGCATATATGAAGGACTTTTATTGATTTACTTGACATCCAGTAATGACACCGAAAAACAATTGAGACGCAAACTCGAATTGCCTGACAATTGTAATACCCAAAATATGATTACAGACTATATATTATATATAATGGAGACAAAAAATACAGTAAATAATTTTATTTATAATTACATTATCGATATATGTCAAAGATATGCATTTATTCATGATTTATCGTTATAACAATATATTTAGAATACTCCAAATTTTCATAAACTATTTATCTCCGAACTGCAATATGAAAAAATATTTACAGAAATATCTTTCTTAATAAAATAATTGATCCTTTATTTCATAAAGAATACATATTAAAATACTTTGTTATTTTGCATTTACTCATCGTATTTTGCATAATATAAATAAAATATATATGTTTTGAAATCTATATAGAATTATTTTTTAAAAAAGACACAAATAAGTATTCTTTATATAAAAAATTTTTTTCTATAAGGATTTCTATAAATAAATCTACATATAAAATTATTTATAAAAGATATAGTACCTATATATATAAAGAATTTTAAAATATCTATATAAAGAATTATATGTATAATAATGAATTCTATTTAATTGAGAATTACGAAAATAGATTTTTGTTTCGCTAAGCTATTTTGTATAAGAAAATGTAAAATGGATTGTTTATAAGAAGAAAATTTTACCACGATAAATATTAAGCACAATAATGATGATAATTACATTACATTTTTAAGCAGAATTATGTCAACAGCTTAAAATTTCAATGATGATCTTAATTACCAATTAAAGAAATTTGATATAAATTTCTGCTTTTATATATAAAAACTATATGTAAAAAATCTATATTATAGATTGTAATACCCTTTCATTTAAAAAAAATATAAATGCAAACGCTTTACTGATATTCTTGTTTTTGGTTTCAGGGTGAAAAATTACTCAATTATAAGAAAAAAACCAGTTGTTGGATTACAAATTCTAAATTTGTAAGTAATGTGACGCAAAGATTATTCAAAGGAGAATTGGAATTAGTAAATTTTCACAGAACTTATTACAATTTAAAAAATCAAATAAATGAATTCCTGAGAAGAAAGACAAAAGATTACATACGTACACCTGTGCAATTCAACCATATCAATAAAGAAATGCAAGTTATTCTATCGACCGTACTTTGCTTAAAAGACGAACTAGTAAAAGAAAATACCTCTACCAAGCAAATACTGCGTTCAATGCATTCATCGAAGATAGTTAGAAGCTGTAAATATATCTCTTTTTTACTTTTCCACCGTCTCTCCCCTCTTTCTATTACTCTCATTTTATATAATTTTTTCTTTATTGTATATTCTTTCATGCATATAATATTTAATCATATTTTATTTAATCACATTTTTTTCAATTAAATGAGAAGATAAAATATTTCGCAATAGTTTGTTATCTTAATTTAATAATAATTTTATAATCATAAAGCATTTTCAAAAGTTGGTTATAAAATTAAACATACACACACACACACACACATATATATATATAAATATGTATCTAATTTTGAACATTTTTTTATATTATTGTCAACTTTCCAGCATGTTACTAAAATATTACTAAAAAAATATTTTTTTATTTTTGGAGTGAGAGAAGCACTGTATGCATTTTTAAAACTAAATGATATTTGATATTTGATAGCGACAGCTTAATTTTGCTAACATTCAATTTTCATTACATATTGTTACTCCATAGAGATTTAACAAATCTTTTTATTTCAGTCGCATCTCGAAAACTAAAGATGATTGTGACAAAGTTACCATTCGTGGACAAGAATATTTCGTTTTTCCTGTTAATTCCCGCTTGGCGCTGTCGAAATGAATGGTTTGTGTATAAAATATCGGATTTGGCTAAACAATTGATGACCGAAGAAGGAATCGATGAGCTAAGGGGTGCGTTAGATGCCGAATGTCCATATGACAGGTTTGACAAAAAAGACGATATAATATATCCCGATTCCTTTGAATTGGAGAACGAACTTGAGATGGATAAGTTATTGGACAAATTAGGCATTCAAGATTTATTGCAACCCGACAAGGCGACTCTGTCTAAGTTCACTGATGAAAATTTGCACTTCGGCGGTGCCATACATCGCGCGTATATTAAGGTGACAACAGAGAACGTCATTGCCAGCACAGTTAACATGTTCTTTACGAAAAAAGAAGCGTCTTTTAATTCATCCAACGATATTAATAATTCTGCATGTACACAAAATTTTCTATGGCTACTCTATTGTAAAAAGAGCCGTACCATTCTTTTTATTGGCTCTATTAATAAAGAAAATCCATTGTCTCCATCAGAAGAGGGCAGAGGTTTTGTTGACAGAATTCGAAAGATGTTTAAATAATTGAAACTGTAATGGTACAAAAGAAATCCACAGTATAATATAATTATAACAGTATAATTAGATTATGCTTTTCTATATACAATATAGTAATAATAAATATATAATATAATAATAATAATATATATAATTTTACTTTAAATATATATCTAATTTATATTTTATTTTTCAAAAATCTCACATTTGTTATTTTATTGTATATCGTGTAAGGATAATATAATTAATATCATTATTGAGACATTTTTCATTAGACAGCTGATGGAATAACTTGTAAGTGTGAATTTTGAAAAATAAATTAAATAGTAATTATATAATAAGCTGATTTTCACGAAAAATGTATATATTTACTATATATTATTTAAATATTAAAATTTATGTTTATATCTATCATTAACATAAACTATACATATTATTTATGCACTAATTAAAGTTAAATGTAATTAATTGGTTACTATATGTGTTCATGCACAATTTTAAGATAAAACATTGATGATGGTTATGATTTAAGTATTTTAGATATAGCCACTAAGTATGTTTGACAAGTAAAAGCGACTATGGATCATTTATAATTTATTGTATTTATGGTATAAATAACCTATAGTTTGTAAGATTTAAATTTATGATATAATTTTAATAACAACAGTTATTAATAAACATTTGATAACTTTATATTAATAAGAATAATGCAAATGTTCAATCACGCATTAATCACGAATATATACGTTGATTATTGCTAATAAAAATTGTACATTTTATTTACCTTTTCGAATTTCCCATATGTTGTACATATTATTCCATATTTTATATTTTATTACTGTACCATTAAATTATTTTTTTTTTATTTTTTATATCTTCTATTTAAAAAATTCTTTATGCTAAAAGATTATTCAAAGTAAAACAAAATATTAGTTTTCTTTAGACATATAGTATGTTCTCTTACATACACTTTTTTCATATTGACTTCATTGTATTACAATATTTAAATAAATATTAAAAGTGTATATTAAATATATATGCGCATGCTCAACAAAAATAAATAAATATTTATTTAATTAAGTCAATATATATAATAATATTGCGATCAAGTTTTAATTAATCGCAAGTGAGAAGATTCTTTCAAATATAAGAAGAAATAATATAATAATAAATAAATATAATAAGAAAATAATATAATAAGAAATAGATATAAGAAGAAATTCTCACATATTTTCTGGTTTAATTTTTCGCGCTTGAATCACATCTGACAACACTGTAAAGCAATATTGTCGCACGAGCGACAAAACAGCAGGTATATAAAATCACGATCGAGAAAATGAGGCACAGAACTTTATGTGACTTTGGTACGGTCGAATTTGTGTATACGACTAATTTGATTTTCTAGACAAGAATGGCAAAAGAAGGACGGTTCTCAGATAATAAAATTGATGAAACGACAAAAATGGCAGAACAATACTCAAATCAAATTTGTGGTAAGACAAAAAATCTTTTATAAAATCTAATAATTTTAAGACTAATTTATAGATAATTAAAATATACATATTATAGATACTTAAAAGATTATTCTCTTTGCATTATCATTATTCAATATATTCATACATAAATATTATATGTTTAATATAGTTGTTTGTACATAAAATTCATAATTTAGTACAATTTTGTGAAAAAGCCACAGCAATCTATTAAACTCCAACATTATATACTCGCGTCTTTTTACTTGTAGTCTATGATGGCACAATTATATTTTAACAAATCTTTTCAAGATAAAGATGTATTTAAAATTAAAAAGATTTTTAGAATATGATTTTGAAAACATAGATAAATAAAATATAATTTAATTATTATCAAAATTAAGATATTATGATAACATGTGATTAATTATTATTCAGTAGTCATGTTAGTAAACACAATATATAATAAGAGAACTTTTGGTTAATATATAATAAGTTCAAATCTCATCCATAATTTTTTCTCTTTCAATTGTCGTTATAATTATTAACGATTTTACCATCTCAAAAATTTAAAATTATACGTAATTTGCAAAAAATTGTAACTGCAATATGCAAAATTATTGTCTAATAAATTTCAATATATTCCCAGCAAACACCGATATATAATTGTTACATTGCTATAATAAAACGGAATATAACAGGTAATATAACGTGTACGTTACATGTAACATCTATGTTAGTTGTAATTTCCCACTCATAGATGTAACATTTTAATATAACATATATTACATTGTAATTATATACCAAATAGCACATTGATGTATTGATAAGTCAGTGCTATCTTGGGATATAATGACAATATAACTACAATGTAATATATGTAATATTAAAAATGTTACATCTATGAGTGGGAAATTACAACTAACATATACGTTACATGTAACATGCTTAAGTATATAACATTTATATACTGTATTTGCTGGGTTATAATTTGCACATAAACATTTTTTTACATATATTGTAAATTACTTTTATCAATTCATTAAATATATCTGCAATTTAATATAACACATTATTTGTAATAATATCTCTCTTTTGTCAATTTTGTATATTTTATTTATTAAATATATTTTCTTTTCGCCAGAGGAAATATTGACGACAGCACGTATCAAATTTGCAATTAAATGTCTGTGTACAGCTATGGATCTAAAGAAAAATAAAAATATCGTCTTTAGTCCGAGTAGCATATATGAAGGACTTTTATTGGTTTACTTGGCATCCAGTGATGACACTGAAAAACAATTGAGATGCAAACTCGAGTTACCTGACAATGATAATACCCAAAATATGATTACAGACTGGATATTACATACAATGGAGATAAGAAATACAGTGAATAATTTTATTTAGAATTACATTATCGATATATGTCAAAGATATGCATTTATTCATAATTTATCATTATAACAATATATTTAGAATACTCCAAATTTTTATAAACTATTTATCTTCGAACTGCAATATGAAAAAATATCTACAGAAATATCTTTCTTAATAAAATAATTGATCTTTTATTTCATGAAGAATACATATTAAAATACTTTGTTATTTTGCATTTACTCATCGTATTTCGCATAATATAAATAAAATATATATGTTTTAAAATCTATATAGAATTATTTTAAAAAAAGACACAAATAAGTATTCTTTATATAAAAAATTTTTTTCTATAAGGATTTCTATAAATAAATCTACATATAAAATTATTTATAAAAGATATAGTATATATATATATAAAATTTTTAAATATCTATATAAAGAATTATATGTATAATAATGAATTCTATTTAATTGAGAATTACGAAAATAGATTTTTATTTCGCTAAGCTATTTTGTATAAGAAAATGTAAAATGGATTGTTTATAAGAAGGAAATTTTACCACGATAAATATTAAGCACAATAATGATGATAATTACATTACATTTTTTAACAAAATATGTTAACAGCTTAAAATTCCAATGATCTTAATTACCAATTAAAGAAATATGATATAAATTTCTGCTTTTATATATAAAAACTACATGTAAAAAATCTATATTATAGATTGTAATACCCTTTCATTTAAAAAAAATATAAATGCAAACGCTTTACTGCTATTCTTGTTTTTGGTTTCAGGGTGAAAAATTACCCAATTATAAGAAAAAAACCAGTTGTTGGATTACAAATTCTAAATTTGTAAGTAATGTGACGCAAAGATTATTCAAAGGAGAATTGGAATTAGTAAATTTTCACAGAACTTATTACAATTTAAAAAATCAAATAAATGAATTCCTGAGAAGAAAGACAAAAGATTACATACGTACACCTGTGCAATTCAACAATATCAATAAAGAAATGCAAGTTATTCTATCGACCGTACTTCGCTTAAAAGGCAAATCAATAAAACGAAATACCGATCGTTTCGAGCAAACACTGCGTTCAATGCATTCATCGAAGGAACTTAGAAGCTGTAAATATGTATCTTTCTGTTACTTTTCCACTGTCTCTCCCCTCTTTCTATTACTCTCATTTTAATCTTATTTTTTTTTACTTATTTACATATGTATATAATATTTAATCATATTCTATTTAATCACATTTTTTCAATTAAGTGAGAAGATAAAATATTTTGCAAGTTTGTTTTATTATTAAAATCATTAAAAAAATGTATAATTATAATCTTAATATAATAATAATTTTATAATTATAAAACATTTTCCAAAGTTGTTTATAAAATTAAACATACACACACATATATAAATATGTGTCTAATTTTGAACAACATTTTTTTATATTATTTTAAACTTTCCAACACATGTTACCAAAATATTACTAGAAAAATATTTTTTTTATTTTTGGAGCGAGAGGAGCACTGTACGCATTTTTAAAACTAAATGATATAATTGATATATTTGATAGCGACAACTTGAATTTGCTAACATTCAATTTTCATCAAATATTGTTACTTCATAGATTCAACAAATCTTTTTATTTCAGACGCATCTCGAAAATTAAAGATGACCGTGACAGAGTTACCATTCGTGGACAAGAACATTTCGTTTTTCCTGTTAATTCCCGCTTGGCGCTATCTAAACGAATGGATTGTGTATAAAATATCGGATTTGGTTGAACGATTGATGACCAAAGAAGGAATCGATGAGCTAAGGAGTGCGTTAGATGCCGAACTGTCATGTGGCAGTTTTGAAAAAAGTGAAGATATAATATATCCCGATTCCTTTGAACTGGAAGACGAACTCAAGATGGATAAGTTATTGGACAAATTAGGCATTCAAGATTTATGGCAACCCGACAAGGCGACTCTGTCTAAGTTCACTGATGAAAATTTGCACTTCGGCGGTGCCATACATCGCACGTATATTAAGGTGACAACAGAGAATATCATTGCCAGCACAGTTAACATGTTTTTTACGAAAAAAGAAGCGTTTTTTAATTCATCCAACAATATTAATAACTCTGCATGTACACAAAATTTTCTATGGCTACTCTATTGTAAAGAGAGTCGTACCATTCTTTTTATTGGCTCTATGAATAAAGAAGACCCATTGACTCCATCAAAAAAGCGCAAAGGGTTTGCTAACAGAATTCGAAAGATGTTTAAATAATTGGAACTATAATGGTATAAAAGAAATCCACAGTATAATGTAATTAATAAATTATGCTTTTCTATATACAATAAATATATATAATTTTACTTTAAATATATATCTAATTTATATTTTATTTTTCAAAAGTCTCATTTAATTTATATTTTATTTTTAAACGTCTCAAAAATAATACAATTAATATCATTATTGAGACATTTTTCATTAGACAGCTGATGGAATATCTTGTAAGTGTGAATTTTGAAGAATGAATTAAATAGTAATTATATAATAAGCTGATCTTCACGAAAAATTTATATATATTTATTATATATTATTTATATATTGAAATTTATGTTTAAATCTATCATTAACATAACAATTTTACATATGCATTATTTATGCACTAATTAAAGTTAAATGTAATTATTTGATTACTGTGTTCATGCACAATTTTAAGATAGAAAAATTGATGTTTATGATTTCAGCATTTTAGATATAGCCACTAATTGTAAGTATATGTTTGACAAGTAAAGCGCCTATGGATTATTTATAATTTATTGTATTTATGGTATAAATAACCTACAGTTTGTAAGATTTAAATTTATGATATAGATTTAATAACAACAATTATTAATAAACATTTTAATAACTTTATATTAATAAGAATAATGCAAATGTTCAATCACGCATCAATCACAAATATATACGTTGATTATTGCTAATAAAAAATTTTACATTTTATTTACCTCTTCGAATTTCCCATTTGTTGTACATATTATTCCATGTTTTATATTTATTACTGTACCATTAAATTATTTTTTTTATATTTTTTATATCTTCTTTATAAAAAATTCTTTATGCTAAAAGATTATTCAATGTAAAACGAAATATTAGTTTTCCTTAGACGTATAGTATTGTTCTCTTACATACACTTTTTTCATATTGACTTCATTGTATTACAATATTTAAATAAATTATCAAAAGTGTATATTAAATATATATGCGCATACTCAACAGAAATGAATAAATATTTATTTAACAAAGTCAGTATATAATAGTATTGCGATAAAGTTGAAATTATTCGCAAGTGAGAAGATTCTTTTAAATATAAGAAAAAATAATATAATAATAAATAGATATAATAAAAAAATAATATAATAAGAAATAGATATAAGAAGAATTTCTCACATATCTTCTGGTTAAATTTTTGGCGCTTAAAATCATATCTGACAACACTGTAAGGCAATATTATGGTACGAACGACAAAACAGCGGTTATTATCGTGATCGAGACAATAACGAACAGAACTTGTGTAACTTTAATACGGGCAAGTTTGTGTACACGATCGATTTGATATTTCGAGGCGTAAGGATGGCAGAACAAATCTCAGATAAAATTGAAGAGACGACTTCAGATGAACAAATTGATAAGATGGCTTCAGATGAACAAATTGATGAGACGACTTTAGATGAACAAATTGATAAGACGGTTTCAGATGAACAAATTGATGAGACGACTTCAGATGAACAAATTAGTAAGACAAAATATCTTTTATAAAACCTCACAATTTTGATGTCGATTTATAGATAATTAAAATATACGTTATTATTTTTCTTTGTATCATCATTATTCAATGTACTGTTCGTACATAAAATTTAATACTTTGATATAATTTTGTGAAAAAGTCACAGTGAATCTTGTAATCTGTTAAATTCAAACATATAGTCGACTTTTACTTGTAGTCCATGATGACACAAATTATATTATAACAGATTTTTTAAATATTAAGGTGTATTTAAAATTAAAATAATTTTAAAATATAACTTTTGAAACATAAATAAAAAAAAACATAATTTAATTATTATCAAAATTAAAAGTATAATAACATGTAATTATTTCAAATTGTCATATATTAAATACATATTATTAATAAATAATAATATATCAATTTGAACCATTGCGTTTGTTCTGTTAAAAAATTGTCCATAAATTCGTTATGTATTGAAAGTTTTTATATAGTAATGTTAGTAAACATAAGCAATAAGTTCTTTTATCCATCTTTTTTTTTCTCAATTATTTTCATAATAATTAATAACGATTTTACCAAATTTTAAATTTAAAATTATACATAATTTGCAAAAGAATATGCCTTCAATATGTAAATATTGTCTAATAAATTTCAATATACATTATAAGTTATACATAAATGTTTTTTTATTACATATATTGTAAATTATTTTTATTAATTTATTAAATATATTTACAATTTATTATAACACATTATTTGTAATATTCCAGATAAAAAAATCGATAGAAAATATTAGGAAATAGCATCTGTAAAATATTTTATTGTTTCCTATCGTATAACGTATTGTTTCACTTTTATGTTTCGAAAGAAATGTTATCGTTCCTTATTGTTTTCTTTCATTTTATGTTATCAATCGGATTCAGTCGTTAGAATACAATAAAATTCTTATAGTAATATATTGCTTTTTATCGTTTTGTTGCGGAATTTTATCGAGAAAAATGATTGAAAATTTATTGTAATAAATTATATATAATTATATAGTTATGAAACTACGATTAAAAACGATGCAATTTCTAATGTTTTTAATCGATTTTTTTATCAAGGATCTCTCTTTTGTCAATTTGAATATTTTATTTATTAAATATCTTGTCTATTCGCCAGAGAAAATATTGACAAAGGCGCGTTTCCTGTTTGCGATTCAATCTCTGCATGCAATGATGATTCTAAAAATGAAAAATGTCGCCTTTAGTCCGTATAGCATATATGAAGGACTTTTACTGGTTTACTTGGCATCGAGTAATGACACCGAAAAACAATTGAGATGTAAACTCCATTTGCCTGACAATGATAATGTTCAAAATATGATTACAAACTGGATATTACATACAACGGAGAGAAGAAATACGGTAAATAATTTTATTTTTATAGAATTACATTATCGTAGTATGTCAAAAATACGGCTGAAGCATTCGTAAATGATTGATCGTTGTAAAAATATATTCGGATTCATCAAATTTCATTAAATTATTTATTTCCGAACCGAAAATATGTAAAAGTTTCTACAGGAATATCTTTCTTAATAAAATAATTGATCCTTTATTTCATAAAAAATAAATATTAAAACATTAAAATACTTTGTTATTTTGCATTTACTTATCGTATTTTGCATAATGTAAAATAAGATATTTACGTTTTAAAATCTATAGAATTATTATACATATAAAATTATTTCCAATAACGACTTATAAAAATGGTAATTTTTGTGTAAAGAATATTTTCTATTAGGATTTCTATGAATAAATTTATATATACTATTTATGAAAGATATACATATACATATGTAAAGAATTTTCAAATATATATAAATAATTGTATGGTATAATAACCAATTCTATCTAATAGTGAATTATGATAATAGATTTTTATTTCCTTAAGTTATTTCGTGTAAGAAAATGTAAAATAAATTGTTTATAAATAGAAACTTTACCACGATATATAAATATTAAGCGTAATAATGATGATAATAAAATAATATACTTTTAAGTAAAATAAGTCAACAGTTTAAAATTTCAGTGGTATTAATAATTAATAATAAAATATGGTATAAGGTTCTGCTATCGTAAATAAAAACTGCTTGTTAAGTAATCTATATTATAAATTGTAATAATCCTTCATTTAAAAAGATATATATTATGCAGACAATCACTTTATTTTCATCGTTTTTGATTTCAGGAAGAAGAATTGCCTAATTATAATAAAATAAACAGTTGTTGGATTGCAAATAATAAAGTTGTAAATAATATAGCGCAAAATTTATTCAAAACAATTTAAAAGTAGTAAATTTTTGCAATGTTTGTGACAATGTAGAAACTCAAATTAATGAATTCCTGAGAAGAAAGACAGAGGATTATATCCATCCGCCTGTGCAAATCAACAATATCAACAAAGAAATGGAAATTATTCTGTCGACCGTACTTTGCTCAAAAGGCGACATAGCAAAACAGAATGTTTCTACCGAAGCCGGCGAGATGCATTCACTGAAGAAACCTAGAAGCTGTAAATATATATATTTCTCTCTCTTTTTCTTACTTTTCCACTGTCTTTTCTCTCTTTCTATTACTCTCATTTTAATATTATTTTTTTCTTACTTATTTACATATATAATATTTAATCACATTTTTACAATTAAATGAAAAGATAATATATATTGCAGTATTTTATTTTCTACCTGATGTTTAATAAATTCAATAATTAATTTTTATAATATTAATAATATTAATAATTTATAATATTAATAATTTTTATAATATATTAAGTTATATTCTAACAACAGTTCTAAAATTATAAATTATTTTCTATCATTGTTTATGTAATTAAATATACATACATATATACATGTGTGTCTAATTTTACTCGACATACTATATTATTCTAAACCTTCTAACATGTTAAATATCTTTTTTTATTTTTGGAGTGAAAGAAGCACTGTACGCATTTTTAAAAATAATTGATATATTTAGTAACAACAATTGAACTTGAATTTGTTAATATTCAATTTTTATATCTCTTCTTGTTATTATATGTATACAACAAACTTTTTTTCAGTCATATCTAGCAAACTAAGGATGATTGTGACAGAGTTACCATTCGCGGACAGGAACTTGTCGCTTTTCGTGTTATATCCGGCTTGGCAGTTTATGATGGAATGGTTAGCGCACGATGATATGTGGACTTTAGTTACACAATTGTGTACCGAAGAAGGAATCGACGAGCTTCTCAGTGTGTTAAATTCCGAAGAGTCATCCGAACAATTTAGAAAAAGAGAACAGGTGCTTTATCCAGATTTCTTTGAATGGAATCACATATTCAAGATAGATAAATTATTGAAGAAATTAGGCATTAAAAATTTATTGAAACCCAAAAAGGCGACTCTGTCTAAATTCACTAAAAAAAAATTGCACCTCGGTAATGCCGTACATCGCTCGTATATTAAAGTGACACGAGACAACGTCGTTGCCGGAACAGTTAATATGTTCTTTACAAAAAAAGAAGCGTCTATTAATTTATCCAAAAAAATTAATTATTCTGCATGTACAAAAAAGTTTCTGTGGTTACTCTATTGCAAGGAGAGCCAGACAATCCTTTTCAGTGGCTATGTCAATAAATATAAATCGGCGCTTTCTCATGCAAAGCACAAAACTTTAATTGACACACTTTTAGTTCAACAATGTAATTTAATGTGAAACTATAATGGCACAACAGAAATCCACAATATAATATAATTAATAAATTATGCTTTGTATATATATATATATATATATATATATATAATATATAAACATATAAATATATATATATATATAATATATAAATATATAACATATATATATATATATATATATTATTATATAAATTATATATATATATATATATATATATTATATAATATAAATCATATATATATCTATATATATATATATATATATATGATTTATATTTTATTCTCCAAAATTCTCACATAAGTTGTTTTACTGTACATCGTGTAAATATAATACAATTAATATCATTATTGAGAAAGTCTCCTATAATATTTTTCATACGATAACTGATGGAATATCTTGTATGTGTGAATTATAAAGAAGAAATTAAATGGTAATCAGATAATAAGCTTGTTTTTTAGAAATTTATTTAGATAATTGAAAATTATGTTCAAATCAATTACAAACATAATGATTTAATATATTATTTATGTACTAAGTAAATTTCAATGTAATCATACAGTTATTGCACACGGAGAGAATTTTCTCTTAGAATTAACCCTGAAAATTATGCGAATTATAAAGAATAAATTAAATGGTAATCAGATAATAAGCTTGTTTTTTAGAAATTTATTTAGATATTGAAAATTATGTTCAAATCAATTACAAACATAATGATTTAATATATTATTTATGTACTAAGTAAATTTCAATGTAATCATACAGTTATTGCACACGGAGAGAGTTTTCTCTTAGAATTAACCCTGAAAATTATGCGAATTATAAAGAATAAATTAAATGGTAATCAGATAATAAGCTTGTTTTTTAGAAATTTATTTAGATAATTGAAAATTATGTTCAAATCAATTACAAACATAATGATTTAATATATTATTTAAGTACTAAGTAAATTTCAATGTAATCATACAGTTATTGCACACGGAGAGAGTTTTCTCTTAGAATTAACCCTGAAAATTATGCGAATTATAAAGAATAAATTAAATGGTAATCAGATAATAAGCTTGTTTTTTAGAAATTTATTTAGATAATTGAAAATTATGTTCAAATCAATTACAAACATAATGATTTAATATATTATTTAAGTACTAAGTAAATTTCAATGTAATCATACAGTTATTGCACACGGAGAGAATTTTCTCTTAGAATTTACCCTGAAAATCATGTTAATTGTGGGACAATAAATATTGGGATATTGGAAGAATTTTATAAGAATTTCTCTGATTAATATTTATCACAATAAAAATATTAATATGTACATAGTAAATTTTACTATGTGTACATAGTATAATTAATCGAACATATTTTATATGTTATTGTGGTAGATATTAATATTTTTAATGTAGTCAATGAAATAAAAATAAAAATTAATTAGGGAAACTCTTATAAAATTTAAGAGTTTTAACTTATAAAATTCTTCCAATACCATATTGTCCCACAATTACCATGATTTTTAGGGTAAAATTTAAAAGAAAATTTTCTCAGTGCATGATTTTAGAATAAATAAATTGATGATATTTAATTATTTCAAATGTTCGCACTAAGTATTTAACAATTTTGTTTGTTAAATTTAAATTTGTAATATAGTTTTATTAATAACCAATTAATATCTTTATCTTTTATTATTATTAAGAATAAGGTAAACAACAGTTAAAAAAAACCAAGCGCAAAAATTATAAAAGTAACAAATTTATTTTAAAGTCCTCTTTATTTTATATGAACTTCGGTTTGATTGAATTTTCATCCTTTCTTTGAATAATCTTCAACAGATTAATTGATAAAAGATGAGATGATAAAGTATGAGCATTAAATTCAAATGTGCTTATTGTTTATCAAAATGCATGCAAGTAAATGAGAAGATATAAAAAACTTATTAATATTTTATTTTAATTATCAAATAAGTTAATGCATGCAAGTAATTGAGAAGATATAAAAAACATATTAATATTTGTCATCAATATTATAAATATTCGAATCAGCTATATTGCATACATTCGTATTTCAGAAGCATTATATAAGATGAAGTTTAATATAGTAACAATTAGAATCTGTTTAATATTAAAGAGTTTATCTATCTGTAAGGTCGAAAAAACATGTATTTTTAGGAATTTTTCTTTTCAAATTAAAAGATTTTTTAAATTAAATGATTAATTATTTGAATGTATACATTTTGTAGATTGTATAGTATTCTTTTTATTACAAAATATATTTTTTATTAAAAAAAACAAAAAATATATTAGCAAGAGCATTTTTTTGATAAGTTTTTTGCGGTGAATACTGTAGCTTTAAACTCGTTCATCTGAAATAAATAATTCGGGCGAATTTAGTTAGTGTATTAGTTTATCTAGTGCCAAATCATTTGCTTTTTATTTTTGTTGCGTAGTTTTATTTACGGATGAAAATAAACAATTTTTTTGGTCGAAAATTGATACTTTAACTTTAAACAACCGCCATATTTTGTCCCAATCTAATTTTTCGAGATAATAAACAATCGGGCATTAGATAAACTAATATATTAACTAAATTTCCCTGAATTATTCATTTCAGATGAACGAGCTCAAAGCTACAGTGATCACCGCAAAAAACATACAAAAAATACTTTTGCTAATACCTTTTTTGTTTTTTAATATTTTGTAATAAAAAAATACTATAGAATCATCAAAATGTATACATTCAAATAATTAATTATTTATTTTAAAAAATCTTTTAGTTTAAAAAAAAATACTAAAAGTACATGTTTTTTTCGACTTCACAAGTAGGTATAGCTCCTTAAACAACAAACATAATTAAAGAGAAGAACTTGGTAATATTAATTATTGTGAATTTTTTTAACTAATTTATTATGCATGTAAATGTAGGCTCACATAGATGAACAGTCTTAAAGGGTCAACAATTTGGACGCGAGATTTGGAAAGAAATGCTGAAGATAACGTATTATCACGGACATGAACTATTAAAACAATACTTTTGTTTTAATTACTTTATTAAATCGTCTGACTAAATTGTCTTCCGATTGAACAAAGTATAGATAAATTAACATAAAAACTGGCATCCTTGACTTTATCGCTTATCTTTATAATATACAGCGTGTATGATCTTATTTTATTTATTTATATCAACTTAACTGCAAAACTTACATTTTTTACATTATTTTGTAATTAAACATTATACATTAATAGAGGTCTTTATTTAGATATCCATCACTTTTTTAAATATTTTATAAAACATGTATAAAAAAACTTGTATAATCTTTAATTGTATAGTCAATAGATATTCATCATTTTATATATTCTATATCTTGCGTATAATCTATATATATATAAATATATATATATATATATATATATATATATATATATATATATATTTATAAGGATATAAAATATATGTAGCGTGAAATAATCTTATATCTGTATTGAAAAGAATTGTTATTTTAATTAGTTAATTTGTTAATTAAACATATGAATGTTAGTATTTAAATTAATAATACGTTTTGTTGATTTCATGTTTTATTTAATTTAATGTTTATATATTTAATTAACAAAATAATATTTAAGAGAAAGATTTATTCAAGTTAATAAATTTTTGTTTGCAGTTATATCATATTATCTGTAAACATGTTTTATAAATATTATAAAAGTAAGCATGCCCACACATTTAAAAATTTTCTCGAAATTTTCTCTAAATATCTATCATTTATTAATGTATTTTATATAACATATAATATAATTTATATAATATATGCATAACATTTTATATATGTAATTATTATGTATATTATGCATAACATATCTTATATAATTTATAATTATATTTTTTTCAAAAATAATTGTAACAAAATATATTAAAAACCATGCATGTACATATAAAAGTTTTTTCAAATAAAATATTAATTTTTTTAAACAAGAATATATATTCTGATAAAATGTTTTATATGAATGTAAGAAGAAAAATATAAATTTGATAAATTATAATTAATAAATAATATTGACATTCATGAAACGATATGACATCCATAAAAAACAAAATATCAAACACGCCTTCTTCACATATATATCACAAATCTTTAAATAATAATTTGTGGATTAAATATTTAATGCAGATAAACTTTTAAATCAAATTTCGTTTATATCTGTTGTAATATTTGAAATTTAGTAATTTTATCTATTACATGCATACTATATCTATATAGCATAATATATGATATTATATTAATATTTCATGAAATAAATTATTTTTAAAATTATAATAAAGATAAAAACAAATAAATATGAGAGTTTCACTTATAGATTGCTTCAATATATACTTAAAACTCATTTTATACATTCTTTATTTATAATGAAATTCAAGCTGGTACATGTATTTACTTCATTTCATTTGTCTGGTTTGAAGATAACATATATCTTTTACATATTATTTAAATTGCAGAAAGAATTTCTGATTTAGATCGGATATGTATTTTTCTATTCAATATATCTCAATATGTCGAATCTGTCATTTAACATATAATGATGTATGAGTCCTAGTATTCTCTCTTTGAGCAGAAATTTTTTTTATATGACAAAATTAATATTTTAGGCGAACGCAGTAGCCAGAGAAATATTTTTCGTGAAAATCGCTCATTCAAACACATACAATTTTCGACTGTAATAATATTATTATATCATACAGGGTGTAAGTTATTTTATAACGCACTTCTATCTCTTTTCTTCCTTCTCCAATATTATGTCAATTGTTCTCCGTCTCAGAAGAATATACAATAAAAGATCATATTAAAATAATTAAGACATGATCGAGGGACGTTTCCATTTTGCATTTAAATGTCTGGAGGCAGTTATGCGTTTGAACCAGAATAAAAATGTTGTCTTTAGTCCACACACCATATACGAGGGACTTTTATTGCTTTACTTGGCATCCAATGATGAGACCGAAACACTTTTAAAACAAAAACTCGAATTGCCTGAGGATAGTACAAGCTTAATATAATATTCACGTTTCAATTAATTACATTATATTTTTGACAAATAAATGTGATTTTAAAATTCATTTATAATTTATTGTAATTACTATATAAATAATAGCATATAGATTTAAATGTATTTGTTGAAATGTTGTTTTTTTAATATCACTAAATTATTAATTTAACAAGTAATATCTTTACATTATTAAAAATAATACGAATGTTCAATGTCAATCTCTATTAATTGACCATTATATCTAAATTTCTCTGCGTGTTGTACATACTTTTCTTCATTTCAATTTATATAAAGTTAAATAGTTTTTGTCTAGAATATATTTTTATTATATATTCTTTATAAAATATTTTCTTTATTTGCTAAAGGTAGATCCGATTGAAAATAGATTTAAACTTTTATTCGACGTATAGAATCTTTTCACTTTATTTTCATATTTTCGTATTTTTTGTTATATTTCATACATGAATAAATTATAAAAAAAAGTATATTTAATATATGTATGCGTATATTTAATAAAATAGAGACATTTTTAATTTAATAAAGTCGTTATAATTGTGTCGGAATCAATTTTGTCTCAATAAAGATTTTTTGTTTAAAAAATAAGGCAATTTAGATAAATATCAAAATAGCACAGAATGATTCCAAAGACATTGGGAAGAAGAAACAAAGTCATTTCATATTTCCCGGTCCAACGTTACACGACTAAATTATATCTGCGGCAACAATAATAATATGTTATGACGCGAGTGTCAAACAGCGGCTAAATAATACCGCGACCGAGAAAATTAGGCATAGACCTAATGTTCTTTGCATAAATCATACGAGTTTGTGTGATATTTTCAGGCAAGAATGGCTAAACAAAACTTATTGTTAGATTATCTAACTGGTAAGTCCAACAACATTTAATTAAAGCTACCATATTTTTACGACAATTTATCAAATACATAATTAAAATATACGTTATATATTATATGTACTATTTTTTCCATGTATTGTAAATTGGTAAAATTTACAATTTCACATATAATTTATTAATGCACAATCAATATCACGATTTGTACATAGAAAATAAATTTTGGTACATAGAGAAAACTTCAAAAGCGTTTATTTAATATGTATGCGAATTTTTAAAAATGATTTTTAAATATAAGAAAGTAGATATAATTGTGTTAAAATCTATTTAGTGCATAACAAAATCATTTTATATTTTGCAGCCCAACGTGGTTAAATTACATCTGGCTACAATGATAATATTATAACTCAAGCATCGAACAAAGACTTTATAATACCGTGATTAAAACAATATTAAGCACAAATTTTGTATATCCTTCGCATAGGTAATGCGAATTTGTGTGAGTGTATAGCCATATTTATATTTTTAGACAATGGCACAGCAACACTCAGACGATTTCGATGGGATTGATAAAACTGGTAAGTTAAAAAATATTTCACAAAATATAACTGTTTTAATGCTGATTTATTAAATGAGATCATTTAAAAACATTAAGCTAATATTTTTTTCATATTACTATTTTTTTTGGGTGTTTATATAGATAAAATTTAAAACTTGATGTAATTTAGTCAGTACACAGGGAATCCCGCAATCCGTTAAATTCATATTGTAAAAATGTGTATTTTTACTGGAGATATACTAGCATAGACATGATATAATATATTCGTTCTCGTTTGAGATGTATTTAAAATAAGAATGATTATTATATTATAACTTTTGAAAAAAGTACATTTAAATAAATATCAGAATTAAATTGTCAATTATTAAATATTACTATTAATATATTGTAAATATTACTGTTAATATATGAAATATTACTATAATAAAAATTAATAAGTTTAAAATCAATTTTAAACTTTGTGTTCGTTCTACATCTAGAAAAACAAAATAAGACATGATCCGCTAAAATCTTTCTATTTGTTTTGTAAAGTTTTTATGTAGCCATGTTAATAAATATAGCTAACATTATATGAGCTAATATCATTTTCTCTTTTGATTGTCATTATATATATGTATATTGATTTAATTGTATTTCAAATTAAAAATTATACATTTGAGTTGAAATTAAAAAAAAAAAATACTCTCGACATGCAAAATAATTGTCCAAAAAATTCTATTACATTATACATTTCATATTATGTATTTTTTATTATTAAATACATTATAAACTATTATAAATTTCTTAATTTTAATTACAATTTATATTGTGACTTTATTCGTAATATTTCTTTTTTGTTTAAATTTGCATGTTTTTTTTTTATTTACCAGAGAAAATATTGACACAGGCGCGTTTCCAGTTCTCACTTAAATGTCTGGAGATAGTTATGGATCTGAACGAGAATAAAATTTTGTCTTTAGTCCATACAGCATATATGAAGGACTTTTATTGGTTTACTTGGCATCCAGTGATGACACCGAAGCACATTTAAAAAGTAAACTCGAATTGCCTGACCATATTCTCCAAAAAGAGATTACAGATTGCATATTACACAGCATAACGGAGAAAAAAAAGAAGGTGAACAATTTTATTGCATTTGATAAAGATATGGCATAAAGATTTGTACATGATTTATTGTTACGTCATCATATTCTGATTTTCAATATTTTCATAAACTAATATCTCACAATCAAATCTGCGGATTTTTTAGAAATTATTGTAGAAATGTTATGTTTAGTAAAATAAATAACCTTTCATTTTTATAAAGAATGAATTAACATTTCAAAATTTATATTATAATTTTAGGCTCGTATAAATCAAATTAATAAAAGATAAAGGAAAGGCCAACTTAAACGAGCTTTTCATTTTCTTTATGCTTTTTATTTCATTTTTATTTCACCATTTCGTATAAAATAATGTAAAGTCAATTGTTATTTAAACTTTACAATAATTATTAAACATAATTAATAGCGGTAATAAAAACAAAAATATACTTAGAAGAATAAACCAACAATTCAAGTTTACAATTATGTTATTGATTAATTTTTAACTGCATTATATTAGATTTTATATATTCACACACACACAATATCATTTATATAAAAATACATTAACTTAAATAAAACAATTTGGTCCCATTAACAATGTTACATAATATAATTAATGTTGTACGTTATTTGTAATATAAAATATTTATATAATATAAATATATATTTTAGACATATTATCTATAATATTAAAATATAATCCATAAAATTTTCTGCTTACATAGATAAAAACCTCTTGCAATATAATCTATATTATAGATTAAAAAGAAACTTTTATTAAAAAAAAATATATGTATATTAAATATAAACAATCGCTTTACTTTCATGCTCTTGATTTCAGGATAAGAAATTGTGCAATTATAATGACAAAAATAGTTGTTGGATTACACATACTAAACGTGTAAATAATATGGCGCAATGTTTATTCCATGAAGAATTAAAAGTAGTAAATTTTCACCAGGACTCTATCAATTTAAAAAATCAGATTAATAAATTTCTGAAAAAAAGACAAGAGATTACGTCTGTACTCCCGTGGAATTAAATAATATCGACAAAAATATGGAAATTATTCTGTCAAATGTATTTTGTTTAAAAGGCGACACAGTTACATATGTTCCTGCAGACGCATACAAACCGCAATCATGGAAAAAACCTAGAACCAGTAAATATTTTTTTCTTCTCCCTACTCTCTCTCTCTCACTCTTTCTTTCATCTTAAATATAATTATTTTTTTACAAATTTATAAAAATTCTATTTAACCATATTCTATATTTAATTATTTTTTTTTTTTCAATTATATGAGAAAGTAATATATTTTGCAATATTACTTATAAATAACGTTCCATATTTTATAATTTTAATTTTAAGTCTAATAACAATTGTATTATCAATTGTATATGTAAAACATTTTCAATCGTTGTTTTTTAGACGATTAGACACATACATACATAAGTATCTCTGATTTCGATCGACTTTATTTTATTTTAAAATTTCTAACATGTTATCGAAATATAAATGTGCAATAATTTTTTTATTTTGAGAGAAAAAGTAAGACTGTACGCGTATATAAAAATAGTTGATGTAAAATAATATTTTACTGTTTAATAATCTAATTTTATTTCCTCTTTGTGCCGCATCAATTCAATAAGTTTTTTTTTCAGCCATATCATCGAAACTAAAGATGTTCATATCAGAGTTACCATTCGCAGACAAGAACTTGTCGCTTATCCTGCTTTTTCCGGCTAAAAAATTTCCTAAATGGAAAATTGGTGGAACCATATTGGAATTGGTCGAAAGATTGACGGCCAGAGAAGGAATCGATGAGCTTCGCAGAGTATTATTAGATAATCAAGAGTCGTCAACAAAAATATTAAGAGAAGAGATGTTATTGTATCCAGATTTTTTTAGACTGGAGAACGAACTGGATATTAATGATTTATTGAACGAATTAGGCATTAAAAGTTTTTTGGAACCCGACAAGAGCACTCTATCTAAGTTTACTGATGAAAATCTGCACCTCGGCGGCGCTAAACATCGGGCTTATATCAAGGTGACACAAAAAACCGTCACTGCCGGCGCAGTCAACATATTCTTCACAAAAGAAGAAGGTTCCTTTAAGCCGACTGCAGGCATTAATGATTTTATATACAGAGGAAAGAAGTTTCTTTGGTTACTCTATTGTAGAGAAAGCCACACTATCCTTTTCATTGGATCTGTTAATGAAGAAGTACCGTTGTCTTCACCCACAGGTTGTTTCGAAAGAATTCGACGAATGTTCCGTTAATTGGACTGCACAGTATACATATATATATATATAATAGCGCAATTATATCTATATATAATATATATATTTTTAATATACTATTATTTATGTTTTGTTCTTCAAACATTTCTCACATAAGTTATTACACTATTATATATTGTATAAAAGTGATATAATTATGAAGTGATAATAATATATAATTATATTAATATAAATAATATATGATATACTATTTATATGTAACTTTAAATTTTTCTTATAACTATATTTCATGTGATAGCTGATAGAACATCTCATAAGTGTGAGTTTTAAAAAAATAAAATATTTAGTGATTCTATAATAAATTTATTTTTCCAACATATGTATTATATATGTTGTAAAATATATATTATATATATGTTGGAGTTTATGTTAAAGTTCTAATATATTATATAATTTTGTGTCAAATAAATTTTGTCATCATACTTTGCTGCTTTTGCTGCAAGCAAAATAAATAAATTGTTCATATTCAAACGTTTTTGTTAATCCAGATATTTTTAATGAGTGAAAACGACTTTAATTGTAAAGACAATTAAAATGTATTGCGCTTATTATATGAATGCATGTATCAAATGTAATTTTAAGAACCAATTTTGTACATATTAATGTATGTATGGAATGTAATTTTCTAACGGTAATAACGTTTTAATAAAAATTAAAATTTATAATTAATATATTTGCAATGTTAAAAAAAATGCTTGTAATGCTTGTAATATTAATAAATGTTAATGATCAATATCAAATATAAATATTTATTATTGCTAATTATGAAATCAACATTATGACATTTCTTTTTCCTAATTGATTACATACTTTCTTTTATTTTAATTTATTGTTATAATTTATAATGCTAAATTATTTTTTTTAGAATATATTTTTATTATATTTCTTTACATAGATTCCTCTCTATTTGCTAAAAGTTAATTCGATTAAAAATTGAATTTTAGTTTTTACTTGATGTATTGATTATCCATTTTAAATATTTGTTTTCCTTTGTATTGTCTTAATCGTATTTTGATATTTCAAAAAATTATAAATAGCACATAATTAATATATATGCGCATATATAATTTTTAAATCCAACAAAGTCGATATGATTGTGTTAGAATCAACTTACAATCAGTCGCAATAAATATTCTTTTTTTTTTTAGAGAAGACAATTAAATCAAAATAGTACAGAAGAATCTCAAACCATGAAAAAAGAAAAATGACTAATTGTTTTTCATATTTCCCGGTCCAACATGCCACGAATTATCGACAATTTTAGTTCCGCTTAGATGAGAGCGCTAACTCGTCGGAGTTCGCTTCGGCATTTTTTCCCCTTAAATCTGATAATAATGAAAATATTATAACGCTAAACAGCGACTGTTTTCGAAACAGAGCTTGTGTGCTCTTTGCACGGGTAATACAAGTTTGTGTGAGTATAAAACTTCTGATACTTTCGAACAAAAATGGCTTACAGATATAAACAGAACATTCTAGACAGAGATGATTTAATTGGTGAGTCAAAAAATATTTTACAATATCTAACAATTTTGACGCCGATCGATTATCGAATAGTTAATTAAAATATATGCTAATAATTTTTTTATAATGACATTTTTTTATAATTACAATTTATTGTGACTCTTTATTTGTAAAATTTCTGTTTCGTTATTTGCATGTTTTTTTTAAATGTGTTTTTTATTTGCCAGAGAAAAAATTGAACGAGGCGCTTTCCAAGTTCACGTTCAAATGTCTGGAGACAATTATGCGTCTAAAAAACAATAAAAATATCGTCTTTAGTCCGTATAGCATATATAAGGGACTTTTATTGATTTACTTGGCATCCAGTAATGAAATCCAAGCACATATAAGACAAAAACTCGAACTGCCTGATATTAATATCGAAAAAGGTATTAGAATTTGGATAATGAAGAAAAGAACACAGGTAAATAATTTCATTGTCTTTGATAAAATTTCATTGATATATGTTGAAGATATAACAGAAAAATTTGTACAGAATGTATTAATATATTCGAATCCTCAATATTTTCGTAAACTATTTATCTCATAATTAGGTCTTTTTAAAAGTTAGAGCAGACGTAACAACGTCTTGCTCGTAAAATAACTGATCCTTTATTTCATAAAAGAGGAATATTGAAAAGATATTTCTATCATATTTTAGCAAAATATAAATTATATATTTTTGCTTTAAAACCTAATCAAAAATTAATTTATACAAAATTAACAAAATGGTTTAACAAAAAGGAAATAAATTTTATTTGTGTGTTAAACTATTTTGTATAAATAATATAAAATCAATTGGTACTAAACAAAAATTTTACAATGGATAAATAATAATTACATGTAATAATAGCGGTGATGAAAATGAGAATATACTTTTAAGCAAAATAAACTAAAAGCTTAAAGTTTCAGTGATGTTTTTATTAATTTCTAATAATGAGTTTTAAGTATATAAAATATATAACACTATATTTAATATATAATTAATATTAAAATACATAATTAACTTAAGCAAAACAATTTGATCATATTATATAATATATCATAATATATAATAAACGTTGTGATATGTAATAAACATCTTCCTCTACACACACACACACACACATACACATACACACACACATATATATATATATAATGTATATTTTTATATGTACTATAATATTAAAATATGATATAAAGTGCTTGCATAGATAAAAACCACTTGCAAAATAATTATCTATATTATTTATATTATGAACAATACAAGTTATTTTTTCAAAAGACAATATATTATAAAAACAATCGGTTTACTTTAACGTTCTTGGTTTCAGAATCAGAATTTGTCTAATTATAATGACGAAAATAGATGTTGGATTACAAATACTAAATGTTTAAATACAAAAACGCAATTGTTATTTAGAGACGATTTAGAAATAGTAGGTTTTCATCGACCCCATACCTATTTAACACATCTAATTAATGAATCTCTGCAAAATACGATAGGTAATTACACGCGTTTATTTGTGAAATTAAAAAATATCTCTAAACATATGGAAATTCTTCTGGCGACTACACTTGGCTTAAAAGGCGCAACAATTAAAAAGAATAATAGTCATCATTTTAACAAACACAAGAATATGAAGAATATGCATTCTTCGAAAAATCCTAGAACAGGTAAACACACATATATATATATATATATATATATATATATATATCTCACTCATTTTAATATAATTTCTTTTTACATAAATTGTAGATAACCAAATTCTATTTAATTAAATTTTATTTAATAATTGAGAAGCTAATATGTTTCGCAATATTTTGTTGTGTAATTAACGTTCATTATTCAATATCATAATTATTAATTATAATATTAATCTAATAACAATTATTGTACCATGAAATATTTTCAATAGTTGTTTATAAGAATAGACACATACACACACACACATACACACATACACACACACATGTATATTTATATTTCTGATTTTAATCCGCTTATTTTATGTCTATTAAATTTCCAACATGTGTCTAAAATATATCTATGCCAATATTTTGTGAGTAAAAAGATAAGCATTAAATAACGTTTTTAAAAATATATTTAATGTAAAATTAATATTTTATAAGCAACAATTTGATTACGCTTACATTTATTTTCACCTTTTTTATTATTTTATGGCTTCAACAAGTTCTTTTTTTTCAGTCGTATCTCCCAAACTAGCGATGATCGTGACAGAGTTACCATTCATAGACAAAAACTTGTCGCTTTTCGTATTATTTCCCGCTGTCAAGTTTTCCGCTACCTGGATAGTTCGTGGAGAGTTATTGGAACTATTCGAAAGATTGGCGACCAGAGAAGGAATCGATGAGCTTCGCAGAGTGTTAGATGACGAAGAGTCATCGACAGTAAAGTTGCAAAAGGTCATATATCCAAATTTCTTCGAACTGCAAAACGAACTGGGGATCAATAAGCTTTTGAACACTTTTGACACTGTCAGACTACCTTATTTCACTGCTCAAAATCTACACCTTGGTGGTGCCAAGCATTGCGCTTATATCAAAGTGATACCTCTAAACAGTGTAAAAGTCACCGCTGGCGCAATTAATATGTTCTTTACAAAAGATGGTGGATCCTTTAAACCAGTCCAAAATATTAATCATTCTAGAAATTCGAATAAGTTTATTTGTCTACTCTACTGCAAAGACAGCCACACCATCCTCTTCATTGGTATTGTTAATCGAGATAAACCGTAGTTTCCATAAAGTTTTTCTGACAAAAACATGTCCTGTTATAATAGCACAACAAAATTCCACTATAATATTTTTAGTAAATTACTTTTTGTGTGTACATATATATATATTTATTACATATATAATTTATATTAATTATATACACACAACACACATACATATACATATACATACATATATATATATATATATATATAATTTATATTTTTTCTTCATAATTCTGTCACCTAAGTAATTTCACTATATGTCGTCTAAAAATATTAGTTATATTAATATAATTTTAATAATCGAAGAAATTAGATAAATATATAATTTAAGTTCTAATAACAAATAATATAAGTTCGAATGTGTAGAAATATAAATCACACATTTTTCACACAATAGATAATAAAATATCTTGTAAGTGAATTCTTAAGAAAAAATATTATTATAACATAATGTGTAATTTTCTAAAAATGTATGATATTAGAGTTTATGCTCAAATCTATTTTATTTTTCCATTTAATTTTTGTGCTAAATAAATTCAGATGACATTATATGTTTGCTGCACAACTTTTCGATCAGCTTATTAATATACAGACGTTTTTATTATTCGTGCTTGATACTTTTTACGAATGAAAATGTCTTTAGTTTAATAATTAATTATTATATAAAAAAATCTGTTCACATTTAAATTTCAGTAATTTGTACAAATTGCCTTGTGCACAGGTATTTAATTTTAACAGAAAAAATTTTAGTTTTGTTAGGATAACGCACTGTCATCCGCGATTTGGCTCTTATTGCCTGTCTTACACTTTAAATTTATATTTGTACAAATTATTTTTTTGACAAAATAAAATGAATTAAACAAATATATATTTTATTATATTTATTTAACAAATAATGGAATTTAAGCTGGTAATCTAAAACTTTAAATGCATTGAATATAGTTTTCTTAGCAATAAATTTTCCATACATAATTAACAACTGTATATTAATTAAAATAACGCAAATGTTCATTATTTAAATACTATATGTAAATGTTGATTATTGGTAATCACTTTAACCTTATATTACGTTTATACTTTAATTTTTGTTATAACCTTGAATTATCCTTTCTAAAATAAATTTTAATTATCTTTTCTTTAAAAAGAATTCTCTTTATCTGTTAAAAGTTGATGCAATTAAAAATAGAATTTTAGCATTTACTTGATGCATTGAATGTTCTTTTTATTATTATCTTCATAAAAATAAATAAAATGTATTTAGATATATGAAAAAACTACTAAGAGCGTATATTTAATATGGATGCACAACTTTACTAAAGACAAATAATTTTTTAAATTAAAAAAGTTAATAGAATTTTATGAGGATTAATTTAGATCGTAATAGAAATTTTTTGTGTAAAAAAAGAAAACATTTTAATAAATATTAACACAGAAACAGTATAAAAGTATCCTGGGAAAAGAAACAAAGCTACAATAGTATTAAAGAGTTCCAAAATTTTGAAATTAAATTACTTCTGACAACAATGATAATATTGTGGCGCGAGTGTCAATCAGCGGCTAAATAATACAGCGACAAAATTAAGCTTACAATTAGAATTTGTGTGTTCTTCACACGGAAAACACTAGTTGTGAGAGCATATGACCGATTTGATATTTCTAGACAAGGATGGCACAACAACATACATTGCAGGATGACAAAATAGGTGAGATGAAATATGTTTTATTAAATCGACCAATTTTACCAAACGATATGCATAATTTAAATATACATTAATATTTATAACATTATTACTGATCCGTGTATCGTTCGTAAGTAAGATTTAAAATTAGATGTAATTTAGTCACCACTGCATAGTAAATTTCCTGATCCGTTGAATAAAAATATTGTAAATTCATAATCTATTCTAATATTAATATTATAAGAATAAACTTTAGACTTTTAAGTAGCGCGTTTGTTGAACGATTTAAAATATTAATAAAATAACGTCTATCAAGGTCGTATTTATAATAAAATTTGTTGTAGCCATATTAGTAAACATTGATAATAGGTATAAATCTTTTTTTTCTTTCAATAAATATATTATTGATTTCATCAGATTTCAAATCTGAAATTATACGTCTATGTTGCAAAAAGATCCCTCAACATGAAAAATAATGATCCAATTTTTGCATATACTTTGCAGATAAAGTATTTTATATTGCATATATATTTTAAATTGCAACTATTAATTTATTAATTTTAAATACAACAATTTATTGTAACTTGTTCGTAAAAATTGTTCTTTTTTCTTAATCGTCTTCTCTATCCGTTAGAGAAAATATGGTGTGATTCACGTTTCCGATTCACGATCAAATGTCTGCACAATCTTATGCAAATGAAGCCGAAACAAAATTTTGTCTTCAGTCCGCATAATATACATCACGGACTCTTTTTGTTTACTTGGCAGCCAGTGGTGCCACCGAGCAACAATTAAAACGCATACTCGAATTGCCTGACAATATTGATCAAAAAGTAATTATAGACTGGATATTAAAAAGACTCAACAAAAAAAAAGAGGTAAACAATTTGTCTGTATTAAATCCAATTAGATCTTTAAGATGTCAATAATATAATATAAAAAAAGATATAAACTGTATATTTCATAAACGCAAATCATTAAAAGTTATTGTAGGAACATTTTGCTCGATAAAATAATATTTCCTTTATTTCAAAGTGAAAAGTAAATATTATTAAGATACTATCATATTTGAGCACAAAATATAATTTAAATATTTCCGCCTTAAATGTTAGAAAAAATTACGGAAATAGATTATAATTTTGTTACATAGATTCGCATAAAATACGTAAAATAAATTATTATTAAACGGAAACTTTATATTATATTTATACTTTATTATATAACTTTATATTATACTTTAACATCATAATTGTTTTACTTTCAACGTTCTCTGTTTCAGATTATAAAGTGCTCTGTTTCAGATTGTAGTTGTTGGATTTCAAGTATGAAACGTGTAGATACATTAATGACAAATTTATATGGAAACGAATTAAGAATAGTAGATTTTCATACAAACAATTTAAATAATGCAATGAAATCGATTAATGAAGTACTGACAACAATGAAATATTACGATCAACCCGTGGAATTTAACAATATCTGCGAGAAAATGGAATTTATTCTATCAACCGCACTTTACTCACAAGACGTAATTTCCTTTCGTACAAATTTATTTGAGGACAAATCTACAAAGTACAACATAATTAAACCGATAAGAAGAGCGTTATGCGGTAAATATGTATTTCTCTATATCTTTCCGTCTAATAAGGATTTTAATAAAATTATGAAGCACTATTCATAGGATTAAATACGTACCTATACATACACATAAATTTTCTTGATTTTAATAGATTTAATTTATATCCATATTTCCAACACGTTATCGCAAAATAGCAATGCAAACATTTCTCTATTTTGATACTTAAAGAAGCATTATACGCAGTTTTAAAAATAGTTGATATAAAATTAATATCTTGTAGAAAACCATCTAACTTCGTTTACATTTATTTACGCCTCTCTTTGTTGCTCTATAGGTTTAACAAAGTTTTTTGTTTTTTCAGCTGCGTCTTCTAAACTAATGATGTTCATGAAAAAAATACTATTAAACAACGACGATGACTTGTCGCTTTTCCAATTTGCTCCTATTATTGGGACAGAACAGAAAGAATGGAAAGTAGATGATAACAAATTATCAGAATTAGTCGACAGATTCATGACCAAAGAAGGATCTGAAGAGCTTCGCAAAGTGCTGGATAATCCCGAGTCGTTAACTGAAATGAAAAAAGAAATGTCTATACCTTTAGAGGTTTTTGAAATGCAGAACGAACTGGAAATCGACAAACTATTGGATAAATTGGGCATTCAAGATTTATTAGAACCCGACAAGGCCACTCTATCCAATTTCACTAAACAAAATCTGCAAAATCTGCTCCTCGGCGATGTCAAGCATTACGCGCGTATTTGTATGACACAAACTGAGGTCACTGCTGACGCAGTTAGCATGTTCTTTACAAAAGAAGGAGGATCTCTTAATCAAATCAAAGACATTAATATGTGCAAAGAAATAAAGAATAAGTCACTTTGGCTGCTGTATTGTAAAAAACGACACACCATTCTTTTCATTGGTATTATGAATGAAGATAAATAATCTTTATTGCAAAATTTTCCTTAGAACAAAAATGTATTCTCGATTGAAATTTTAATAGCACAACTAATCTCCACAGTATGATATGTTTTTAATAAATTACACTTTTAGTATATATATATTTATATGTAATATATTTATGATATATGTTAAATATATGTATACATATTGTATACTTAACATATATATATATATATATATATGTATATATATATATATATATATATATATAATTTATATATTTTTTAAATATTTTATCACTTAAATTTCTTTTATCATATGTAGAAAAGAGATATTATCATAGAAAAATAATATTAAAATAAAATAATAATTTCGGATATCTATTCGAAATTATGATAGAGGAATATCACTTTTTCTAATAATAGATAATGGAATGATCTTGTAAGTGTGATTTTTTTAGAAAAACATGACTGATACATTATAAAATAATTTTTAAAAATTCATTATATATTAGAATTTACGTTTAAATCCATTTGACAATTCTCGTATTAAATAAATAAATTTAAATATCATCATGTGTATGCACTATATTGAGATAAATTGTTGATATTCAAACGATTTCAGTTATTCATACTGGATATTTTTGGCAAGTAAAAAAGACTAGTTTAGTAAATTTATAATTAATTGTATTTCCCTTTGCTATAAATAAAGTTTGTAGATTTTTATGCATGTTTGGAATAAGATTTTGATAGCAATACATTTTAATAAACATTTAATATCTCTACTAATATATAGAGATTTACGATTGATGCAAATGATAGACATATATACAAATGTTCGAATACAAATGTTGATTATTGCTAATTATAAGTTTCAAATTTTTATTAATATTTCTACAAATTTTCTATATTGTACATATTATCCTTTTTATATTATTATAACAGCATTTACTGTTCTTAGAATGTAGTTAATTATTTCTTCTCTGCAAAAAATTTTTTTTCTGCTATATATTGATCCGATAGAAAATAAAATTTTAGCATTTACTTGATGTATTGGATGTTCCTTTCATCATCATCTTCAATTATTTAAATATACATTTATTTAGATATATAAAAAAACGGTAAAATATGTATATTTAATATGTTTTTTGCAGTTTTTTCATATATCAACTATACGTTATGTTCATCTTTACCAAAAAGTCAAATAATTTTTAAATTTAATAAGGTTAATAATATTATATTTGGATTAATTTGATCGTAATAAAAATTCTTTTGTATAAAAAAAAAGCATTTTAGATAAATATCAAGTAGTATAGACAAATTTTGAAGACGTGAGGAAGAAGAAACAAAACTATTCCATAGATCCAGTGCCAACGCTTTGAAATTGAATTATATTTGGCAATAGTGATAATATTGTGGCGCAAATATCAAACAGCGGCTAAATAATACAGCAATCGACAAAATTAAGCTTAGAACTTGTCTGTTCTTCGCACGGGCAACACGAGTTGTGTGATTATATGACCGATTTGATATTTCTAGACAAGGATGGCACAACAACATACATTGCAGGATGATGAGATGGGTGAGATAAAATATATTTTATTAAATCGAACAATTTTGCCGAGCGATATATCATATAGATAATTTAAATATATATCAATATTTATAACGTTATTATTGATTCGTGTATCGTTCGTAGATAATATTTAAAATTATATGTAATTTAATAACCAATGCATAGTAAATTTTGTTATCCGTTAAATACAAATATTGTAAAATCATAATTTATTCTAATACTAATATTATAAGAATAAATTTTAGACTTTTAAACTGCGCGTTTGTTGAATGATTTAAAAAATTAATAAAATAACGTTTATCGAGTTCGTTAGATAATAAAAGTTTTTCGTAGCCATATTAGTAAACATAGATATTAGAAATAAATCTTTATTTCTTTTACAATAGTCGTTGTAGATATATTATTGTTTTCATCAGATTTCAAATCAGAAATCATACGTCTGAGATGCAAAAAAATCCCTCAACATAAAAAATAATTGTCCAATAAATTTTGCATATACTTTGCATATACAGTATTTTGTATTGCATATATTGTAAATTGCTACTATTAAGTTATTAATTTTAAATACAACAATTTATTGTAACTCATTCGTAAAAATTCTCTCGTCAATTTTGAATGTTTTTTTTTTCTTATTCGTCTTCTCTATCCGTTAGAGAAAATATGTAGGTATTCCAATTCACGATTCCAATTCACGATCAAATGTCTGCACAATCTTATGCAAATGAAGCCGAAACAAAATTTTGTCTTCAGTCCGCATAATATATATGAGGGACTTTTTGTTATTTACTTGTCAGCCAGTGGTGCCACCGAGCAACAATTGAAACGCACACTCGAATTGCCTGACAATATTGATCAAAAAGTAATTATAGACTGGGTATTAAGAAGACTCAACAGGAAATAAGGAAGTAAACAATTTGTCTGTATTAAATCCACACACATACACACACATACACACACACACACACACAATTAGATCTTTAAGATGTCAATAATATAAAAAAAAATATATATAAACTGCATATTTCAGAAATGCAGATAATTAAAAGTTATTGTAGGAATGGTTTGCGCAATAATATAATTTTTTTTTTTTCTAAAAAGTGAATAATATTAAGATGCTATCATATTTGAGCACAAAATATAATTTAAATATTTTTGCTTTAAATGTTAGAAAAAAATTACGGAAACGGATTATTATTTTGTTACATAGATTCGCATAAAATACATAAAATAAATTGTTATTAAACATAAACTTTATATTATAATATGCTTTATTATATAACTTTTTATTATACTTTAATTTCAAAATCCTTTTACTTTCAACGTTTTCTGTTTCAGATTGTAAAGCGGTCGAATTATAATGACAAAAGAATTTGTTGGATTTCACGTATGAAATCTGTAAATACAAATATGAAAATTGTATTTGAAAACGAATTAAAAATTGTAACTTTTCATACAAACCATTTAGTTAATTCAAAGAAATTGATAAATGAAGAACTGAAAATTAAAACAATGGATTATTTCGATCAGCCTGTGAAATTTAACAATATCTGCGAAAAAATGGAATTTATTCTATCAACCATATTTTACTTAAATGACAACATTCCATTTCATAGAGCTTTATTTAAAGACAAATCTACAAATTGCAACAAGATTAGACCGATAAGAAAAGTTTTATGCGGTAAATATGTAATTCTCTCACTTCCCCCACCTCTATACATTATTTTTTTTTATTTAATTATTTTTTTCACATAAATTCTATTTAATCCAATTATATTGCACGACATTTTTTTCAATTAAAGAAAAGTTAATTAACATAATTTATAATATTTTATGCAAATAACGTCGAATATTAAAATATTAGAAACATAATTTCTGTCTAATAAAGATTTTAATAAAATTATGAAACACTGTTTATATAATTAAGTACGTACTTACATATACATATGTGTTCTTGATTTTAATATTTAATTTATATTCATATTTCCAACACGTTATCGTAAAATAATTATACAAACATCTCACTACTTTGATACTTAAAGAAGCATTATACGCAATTTTAAAAGTAGTTGATGTAAAATTAATATCTTGTAGAAAACCATTTAACTTTGTTTACATTTATTTACGCCTCTCTTTGTTGCTCTATAGGTTTAACAAAGTTTTTTGTTTTTTTAGCTGCGTCTTCTAAACTAATGATGTTCATGAAAAAAATACTATTAAGCCACGACGATGACTTGTCGCTTTTCCAATTTGCTCCTATTATTGGGGCAGAACAGAAAAAATGGAAAGTAGATGATACCAAATTATCAGAATTAGTCGACAGATTCATGACCAAAGAAGGATCTGAAGAGCTTCGCAAAGTGCTGGATAATCCCGAGTCGTTAACTGAAATAAAAAAAGAAATGCCTATACCTTTAGAGGTTTTTGAAATGCAGAACGAACTGGAAATCGACAAACTATTGGATAAATTGGGCATTCAAGATTTATTAGAACCCGACAAGGCCACTCTATCCAATTTCACTAAACAAAATCTGCAAAATCTGCTCCTCGGCGATGTCAAGCATTACGCGCGTATTTGTATGACACCAAATGAGGTCACTGCTGACGCAGTTAGCATGTTCTTTACAAAAGAAGGAGGATCTCTTAATCAAATCAAAGACATTAATATATGGAAAAAAGTAAAGAATAAGTCACTTTGGCTGCTGTATTGTAAAAAACGACACACCATTCTTTTCATTGGTATTATGAATGAAGATAAATAATCTTTATTGCAAAATTTTCCTTAGAACAAAAATGTATTCTCGATTGAAATTTTAATAGCACAACTAATCTCCACAGTATGATACGTTTTTAATAAATTACACTTTTAGTATATATATATTTATATGTAATATATATTTATGATATATGTTAAATATATGTATACATAAATACTTAACATATTATATATATACATATATATATATATATATATATATATATATATATATAATATATACATTTTTCATAATTTTATCACTTAAATTATTTTATCATATGTAGGAAAGAGATATTATTATAGAAAAATTATATTAATACAAAATATTAATTTCTAATATCTATTCGAAATTATAATACAGTAATATCATTTTTTCTAATGAGAGAAAATGGAATGACCTTGTAAGTGTAATGTTTAAGAAAAACATGACTATATGTATTCTCTTATAAAATAATTTTAAAAATTTATCACATATTAGAATTTACGTTTAAATCCATTTGACAATTCTCGTATTAAATAAATAAATTTAAATATCATCATGTGTATGCACTATATTGAGGTAAATTGTTGATATTCAAACGATTTCAGTTATTTATACTGGATATTTTTGGCAAGTAAAAGAGACTAGTTTAGTAAATTTATAATTAATTGTATTTCCCTTTTCTATAAATAAAGTTTGTAGATTTTTATGCATGTTTGGAATAAAATTTTGATAGCAATACATTTTAATAAACATTTAATATCTCTACTAATATATAGAAATTTACGATTGATGTAAATGATAGACATATATACAAATGTTCGAATACAAATGTTGATTATTGCTAATTATAAGTTTCAAATTTTTATTAATATTTCTACAAATTTTCTATATTGTACATATTATTCTTTTTATATTATTATAACAGCATTTACTGTTCTTAGAATGTAGTTAATTATTTCTTCTCTGCAAAAATTTTTTTTCTGCTATATATTGATCCGATAGAAAATAAAATTTTAGCATTTACTTGATGTATTGGATGTTCCTTTCATCATTATCTTCAATTATTTAAATATACATTTATTTAGATATATGAAAAAACGGTAAAATATGTATATTTAATATGTTTTTTGCAGTTTTTTCATATATCAACTATACGTTATGTTTATCTTTACCAAAAAGTCAAATAATTTTTAAATTTAATAAGGTTAATAATATTATATTTGGATTAATTTGATCGTAATAAAAATTTTTTTGTATAAAAAAAAAGCATTTTAGATAAATATCAAGTAGTATAGACAAATTTCGAAGACGTGAGGAAGAAGAAACAAAACTATTCCATAGATCCAGTGCCAACGCTTTGAAATTGAATTATATTTGGCAATAGTGATAATATTGTGGCGCAAATGTCAAACAGCGGCTAAATAATACAGCAATCGACAAAATTAAGCTTAGAACTTGTCTGTTCTTCGCACGGGCAACACGAGTTGTGTGATTATATGACCGATTTGATATTTCTAGACAAGGATGGCACAACAACATACATTGCAGGATGATGAGATGGGTGAGATAAAATATATTTTATTAAATTGAACAATTTTGCCGAGCGATATATCATATAGATAATTTAAATATATATTAATATTTATAACGTTATTATTGATTCGTGTATCGTTCGTAGATAAATTTAAAATTATATGTAATTTAATAACCAATGCACAGTAAATTTTGTTATCCGTTAAATACAAATATTGTAAAATCATAATTTATTCTAATACTAATATTATAAGAATAAATGTTAGACTTTTAAGCTGCGCGTTTGTTGAATGATTTAAAAAATTAATAAAATAACGTTTATCGAGTTCGTTAGATAATAAAAGTTTTTCGTAGCCATATTAGTAAACATAGATATCAGAAATAAATCTTTATTTCTTTTACAATAGTCGTTGTAGATATATTATTGTTTTCATCAGATTTCAAATCAGAAATTATACGTCTGAGATGCAAAAAAATCCTCAACATAAAAAATAATTGTCCAATGAATTTTGCATATACTTTGCATATACAGTATTTTGTATTGCATGTATTGTAAATTGCTACTATTAAGTTATTAATTTTAAATACAACAATTTATTGTAACTCGTTCGTAAAAATTCTCTCGTCAATTTTGAATGTTTTTTTTTCTTATTCGTCTTCTCTATCCGTTAGAGAAAATATGTAGGTATTCACGATTTCAATTCACGATCAAATGTCTGCACAATCTTATGCAAATTAAGCCGAAACAAAATTTTGTCTTCAGTCCGCATAATATATATGAGGGACTTTTTGTTATTTACTTGTCAGCCAGTGGTGCCACCGAGCAACAATTGAAACGCACACTCGAATTGCCTGACCATATTGATCAAAAAGTAATTATAGACTGGGTATTAAGAAGACTCAACAGGAAAAATGAGGAAGTAAACAATTTGTCTGTATTAAATCCAATTAGATCTTTAAGATGTCAATAATATAAAAAAATATATATATAAACTGCATATTTCAGAAATGCAGATAATTAAAAGTTATTGTAGGAATGGTTTGCTCAATAATATAATTTTTTTTTTTTTTCTAAAAAGTGAATAATATTAAGATGCTATCATATTTGAGCACAAAATATAATTTAAATATTTTTGCTTTAAATGTTAGAAAAAAATTACGGAAACGGATTATTATTTTGTTACATAGATTCGCATAAAATACATAAAATAAATTGTTATTAAACATAAACTTTATATTATAATATGCTTTATTATATAACTTTTTATTATACTTTAATTTCAAAATCCTTTTACTTTCAACGTTTTCTGTTTCAGATTGTAAAGTGGTCGAATTATAATGACAAAAGAATTTGTTGGATTTCACGTATGAAATCTGTAAATACAAATATGAAAATTGTATTTGGAAACGAATTAAGAATTGTAACTTTTCATAGAAACCGTTTAGTTAATTCAAAGAAATTGATAAATGAAGAACTGAAAATTAAAACAATGGATTATTTCGATCAGCCTGTGAAATTTAACAATATCTGCGAGAAAATGGAATTTATTCTATCAACCATATTTTATTTAAATGACGAAATTCCATTTCATACAGCTTTATTTAAAGACAAATCTACAAATTGCAACAAGATTAGACCGATAAGAAAAGTTTTATGCGGTAAATATGTAATTCTCTCACTTCCCCCACCTCTATACATTATTTTTTTTTTATTTAATTATTTTTTCTCACATAAATTCTATTTAATCCAATTATATTGCACGACATTTTTTTCAATTAAAGAAAAGTTAATTAACATAATTTATAATATTTTATGCAAATAACGTCGAATATTAAAATATTAGAAACATAATTTCTGTCTAATAAAGATTTTAATAAAATTATGAAACATTGTTCATATAATTAAGTACGTACTTACATATACATATGTGTTCTTGATTTTAATATTTAATTTATATTCATATTTCCAACACGTTATCGTAAAATAACTATACAAACATCTCACTACTTTGATACTTAAAGAAGCATTATACGCAATTTTAAAAGTAGTTGATGTAAAATTAATATCTTGTAGGAAACCATCTAACTTACTCGTTTACATTTATTTACGCCTCTCTTTGTTGCTCTATAGGTTTAACAAAGTTTTTTGTTTTTTCAGCTGCGTCTTCTAAACTAATGATGTTCATGAAAAAAATACTATTAAGCAACGACGATGACTTGTCGCTTTTCCAATTTGCTCCTATTATTGGGGCAGAACAGAAAGAATGGAAAGTAGATGATAACAAATTATCAGAATTAGTCGAGAGATTCATGACCAAAGAAGGATCTGAAGAGCTTCGCAAAGTGCTGGATAATCCCGAGTCGTTAACTGAAATGAAAAAAGAAATGCCTATACCTTTAGAAATTTTTGAAATGCAGAACGAACTGGAAATCGACAAACTATTGGATAAATTGGGCATTCAAGATTTATTAGAACCCGACAAGGCCACTCTATCCAATTTCACTAAACAAAATCTGCTCCTCGGCGATGTCAAGCATTACGCGCATATTTGTATGACACCAAATGAGGTCACTGCTGACGCAGTTAGCATGTTCTTTACAAAAGAAGGAGGATCTCTTAATCAAATCAAAGACATTAGTATATGGAAAAAAGTAAAGAATAAGTCACTTTGGCTGCTGTATTGTAAAAAACGACACACCATTCTTTTCATTGGTATTATGAATGAAGATAAATAATCTTTATTGCAAAATTTTCCTTAGAACAAAAATGTATTCTCGATTGAAATTTTAATAGCACAACTAATCTCCACAGTATGATACGTTTTTAATAAATTACACTTTTAGTATATATATATTTATATGTAATATATATTTATGATATATGTTAAATATATGTATTCATAAATACTTAACATATTATATATATACATATATATATATATATATATATATATATATATATAATATATACATTTTTCATAATTTTATCACTTAAATTATTTTATCATATGTAGGAAAGAGATATTATTATAGAAAAATTATATTAATACAAAATATTAATTTCTAATATCTATTCGAAATTATAATACAGTAGTATTATTTTTTCTAATGAGAGAAAATGGAATGACCTTGTAAGTGTGATGTTTAAGAAAAACATAACTATATGTATTCTCTTATAAAATAATTTTTAAAAATTTATTACATATTAGAGTTTATGTTTAAATCCATTTGACATTTCTCGTATTAAATAAATAAATTTAAATATCATTATATATGTTTGCACGATTTTGCGATAAATAGTTAATATATATATATATATATATATATATATATATATATATAATTTATACATTTTTCACTTAATTTCAAATAATTTTCTCACTTAAATTATTTTACCATATGTAGAAAAGAGTCATTAATATAGAAAAATTATATTAAAACAAAATAATAATTTTGAATATCTATTCGAAATTATGATAGAGGAATATCACTTTTTCTAATAATAGATGATGGAATGACTTTGTAAGTGTGATTTTTTTTAGAAGATCATGACTGATACCTCATAAAATAATTTTTAAAATTCTACCATATATTAGAGTTTATGTTTAAATCCATTTGACAATTCTCGTATTAAATAAACAAATTTAAATATCATCATATGTTTGCACGATTTTGCGATAAATTGTTGATATTAAAACGTTTCAGTTATTCACACTGGATATTTTTGTCAAGTAAAAGAGTAAAATATATACATATATATATATATATATATATATACAAATAATTTATACTTTTTCTTCATAATTTTCTCACTTATATTTTACTATATGTAGTAAAGAGATATTACCATAGAAAATTTATGTTAATACAGAATAATAATTTTGATTGGACCTTCCAATGGAAATTTGAAATTATGATAAAAGAGTATTATATTTTTCTAACGATATAAATGATGGAATACCTTGTAAGTGTGAATTTTTAAGAAAAAAATAAATGAAACTTATAAAATAATTTTTAAAAATTTATTATATGTTGGAGTTTATGTTCAAATTCATTTGACAATTCTCGTATTAAATAAATAAATTTAAATGTCATCATGTGTTTGCTGCATAATTTTGCGTTAAATTGTTGATATTCAGACGTTTCAATTATTCACACTGAATATTTTTGTCGAGTGAAAGAGACTAGTTTAGTAAATTTATAATTAATTGCGTTTCTCTCTTCTATAAATAATCAAATTTATAGATTTTAATGCTTGTTTGGAAGATAATTTTAATAGCAATAAATTTTTAATAGACATTTAATATCTCTATTATAATATAGAGATTTACGATTGATGCAAATGATAGACATCTATACAAATGTTCGAGTACAAATGTTGATTAGTGCTAATTATAAATTTCAAATTTATATTAATATTTCTACTTTACTTTCCTAGAATGTATAGTTTAATTATTTTTTATTTACAAAGAATGTTTTTCATCTGCTATATATTGATCTGAATATAGGCTATATTGACTGAAAATAGAATTTTAACTTTTACTCAACTCAATGGAAAGATCTTTCTTATAGATATATTTTATATTGCCTTCATTAAATTTTGATATATACAAAATTTTGAAAAGCATATACATTTTTAATATACATATGTACATATTTATATATTTACATATTTAATAAGAAAAAAATATTTATAAATCTAACAAAATCGACATGATTTTATTTATATCAGTTTGATCACAGTGAAGATTTTTTTGCGTAAAAAAATAATTTAATTAAATATTAAAATAATGCAGAAAAATCTCAAACCACGAAGACCTAAGGGAGAAATAACGAAATTATTTCGTATTACCCGGCGTAATTTTTGCCCTTAAATAACATCTAGCAACAATGATAAGCAATAATATTATGGCTTGAGCGCTATAACAGCGGCTGTGTAATATCGTAATCGAGACAATTAGACATAGAACTTGTGTTCTTCATACGGGCAATGCGAATTCGTGTGAGCATATGACTGTTTTGATATTTCTAGACAAGAATGGCGCAACAACACTTTTTGCCAGATGATCAAATTGGTGAGTTGAAAAATGCTTTACAAACCTATTAATTTTGACGCTGATTTATTAAATAGATACTGCGCAAATATATCTTTTGTACTATCATTTTTCAATGTACGTCAATATTTGTAGATAAAATTATTATATTTTGATATAATTTGGTGACTACGTTGTAAAATGAGTCTCACGGATCTAGGCTACAACAAATTTTTTTCGGATTTAACATAATTTATTTAAAATAATAATTAAAAGAATAATTTTTCAACAAATGCGACTTTTGCAATATAAATAAAAACTACACTTTAATAAATGTCAGAATTAAAATTACGACAAATATAATGTAATTATTTCATTTTCAATTGATAAATATTACTAATAATCCGATAATAATCCTTTGACTTTGAACTTATTTGCGTTTGTTCTACATATTGAAAAAAAAAAGAAATAAAACATCATCTATCTAGTTTGTTATGTATTGGATGTAGTACATATATAGCTTTATTAAAAAAATACTCAACATGAAAAATAATTATCCCATAAATTTCAATACATTATAATTTACATATAACATATTTTTATTACATACATTGTTAATTACTTTTATTAATTTATGAATTTATTAATTTTAATTGCAATATATTATAGCTCTATATTCGTAATATTTCTTTCTTATCAATTTTGCATATTTATTTTTTCTTATTCCAGAAAAGATATTGACGGAGGCGCGTTTCAAGTTTGCGCTCAAATGTCTGAAGACAGTTATGTGTCTAAAGAAAAACGTTGTCTTTAGTCCATACAGCATATATGATGGACTTTTATTGATTTACTTGGCATCCCATGATGACATCGCGTTACAGTTAAGACCCAAACTCGAATTACCTGACTATATTCACCAACAAAATATATCTCTAGGCTGGATATTAGACAGCAAAACTAAAAAAAGAAGAGAGGTAAATAATTTCATTACAATTTGATCGAATTATATTATTAAAATATGGCAAAAAATTTGTGCATAATAAAAAAAAATATATTTTGTGAACAATCGTTTTACTTTAAAAATTTTTAGTATGAGAATATAAAGGTGCCCAATTATTATGATGAAAATAGTTATTGGATGACATATACTGATAGTAAAAGTAATATGACGCAATATTTATTCAAAAAGAATTTACGAATAGTAAATTCTGACCAAACATTTATCCATACAATCATGAAGAGGATTAATCAATTGCTGAAAAGAACAACGCAGGGTTGCATTCGTAATTCCGTAAAATTAAACAATATCACCGAAAAAATGGACATTATTCAGGCGACTGTACTTTGCTTGAAAGGCAACACAATTCAACAAAATATCTTTACAGATGAGTCCGAGATACCTAGAACCGGTAAACATGACATTTTTTCTCTCATTTGCTCTCATTAAAATTTGTTTCTTACATATTTACATAAACTCTATATTTAATTAAACTTTTTCCAATTAATTGATAAAATAATATATATCGCTAATATATTTTATTTTACAAAAAACGTTGAATATATTAAATTTATAATAATAATTTTAATCTAATAAAAATTGTATTTTATAATAAAATATTTTCCACAATTGTTTAATATTAGTTTCAAACATCTTTTATTTTATTCCAAAATTTCTAACATGTAACCAAAATATATGAATTATGAAAATATTATTTTATTTTGAGAGTATTAGAAATATTATAAATATTTTTAAAAATCATTAATGTAAAAGCAACAACCTAATTTCGCTTCCATTTATTACTTTTTGTTGCTCTATAAATTCAATAATTTTTTTCAGTCTTATCTCCCAAACTAAGCACGTTAGTAACTGAGATACCTCTCCCAGAAATCAAGCAGTCGCTGATTGTGTTATTTCCTGTCCAGTCAACTCAACATATTAAAATCTGGAAAATTAACAAAAACGTTACCGAATTGATCGATAGATTGACGACCGAAAGTGGAATGGATGAGTTTCGTAAAGTATTAAATAACGAACAGTCGTCACAGAAAAGGTTGTTAACAGGAGAGGTGTTTTATCCAAATTTCTTCGAACTGGAGAACGAATTTTCAATCGATCAGCTGTTGGATGAATTAGACATCCGGATTTTATTGGAACCCGACAAGGCCAGTCTACCTACTTTCAGTGATCAAAATCTGCATCTCGGTGGTGCTAAGCATCGGGCGTCAATCAAGGTGACACGAGAGAATGTCACTGCTTGCTCAGTCAACATGTTCTTTACAAAAGGAGAAATGTCCTTTAATCAAACCGCAGACATTAATCATTCATTCTGAATCCATAAAAAACTTTCTTTGGTTGCTTTATTGCAGAGAGAGCCACACCATCCTTTTTATGGGCACTATCAATAAAAATTATTCGCTGCCGCCACCCCAATAGCACAATTCTTTTACATATTTTGTTACCTAATTAAAATTGTAATAAAATAAAACAATACTCTACAATATAATATATTTTTAATAAATTATATATTCTTTTATAAAAATACATATATATCATATATAATGCTATATATATACATATATATAAAATACATTTTATATTATGTATATTATATATAAATTTATATTATAAATGTATGATATATAAATATAATTTATATAATTAATTTTATTATATATATATTATATATAGTGTCATTTATATGTGATTTATATTTTTTTATATTTATATTTATATTTGTGTTTATATTTTATTCTGCAAAATTATCTCATATGAATTATTTCACTATCTGTATATCGTATAGACATATAATGAATTATATATATATATATATATTAGTATAAATCATTATTTCTCGAATTTGTCTTATAAACATTTTTCACGTGTTAGATAATGTGGAATATCTTATAAGAATTTTGTAAGATCTTCTATGAATTTTGGAGAATAAAGTATATAAATAATAACTATATATTAAATTAATTTTCTAAAATTTTATTATAAATATATTGGAGTTTTGTGATAAATAAATTTTTAAGATATGAAATATCATATGATTGCTACACAATTTTGCAATAAATAAATGATAATTTATATTTAAATATTTTGGTACTTTGTACAAATTATTTTTTAGTAAGAACAACTTTAATAAATTTATACTTTATTATGTTTATGATACAAATAATCGATGATTTGTATTTTTAAATGAAATGTAATTTTTGTAGGAATACATTTTTACGAAATATCTCTATTTTATCAGGAATAGTTCAAATATTCAACATCTGTATAGAGTATACATCATTTATTATAAATATAATCAACACTTTATTTTTACATTTCTTCAAATGTCAAATCTTAAAGACGTGAAGAAAAACGACGTCATTTCATACTTGGCCCAGATAAATTTCCCGCGCAAAAATAGACAGAATTTGCACGCTTCGTGTTATTGTTTCAGTTTTCTTTTCTTATTGAATGTACAAATAATTATATATATCGTAAATATATAAAAATGGAGCAAGATGCGATACATAGCGAAAGTGGTGAGTCAAGTTCTTTGTTTTACAAAATCAAGTAATTTTGTATTTATCATATAAATCAGCGTTACATTATAAATATAATAAAAATATACAGCGTTAATATTTCCTTTATTTCTTTGTGCTATCATTTTTTGATATATTTTTGATATTTTTAAAATATTTTCTAACATATTGTTCTGAGATAATATTTGTATATTTTTCTCGATGTAATTTAATAAAATTTTATTGGGTAGTTAGCACTTATTTTCTTTTCAGTTGCATCGTCCGAGCTATGCATGATCATAAATGAGATACCCTTTCAAAATAAGAACGAGTCGCTGTTCATGCTATTTCCGGCTACGTGGACAATTACAGAGAACGATATAATAACAAAGAAGCACTTTGAAATATGCAAAGACATTTCCGAATTGATAGAGAAATTAACGACCAAGGAAAGAATTGATGAAGTTTTTGAATACAAAGACCCTTTGTATTTTATTTCGAGGGTGAAGAAAAGTTTGTCGATTCATAGATTTGGATAATAAAATATTTATTCGTATAATATCAATTTATAATTGTTTTGAATAATTTTTTATTTTATTCATAATTAATATATGTTTGACACGAAATATCCTAGAAGAATATGTCAACTTTCCGATATTTTCACACGTATTTTCTTTTTAATTTTTAAATTGTGACCGATTATGGAAAGCAATTGTTAAATTGACATTTATAATATATTTATTTATTTTACATTTTTTTATTTATTTTTAATAGATAAGAAAGGAAATACAAAACAACTCGATAAAAACAGATCTGTCAACGCTTAATTGTTTTCTAAGAAAAATTCGCATGGAAAATCGTTTGTAATACTTAAAGTTGCCACTTTCCTTTTATATTCTTTAGTTTCATAAATTTATAATTTTAGATGTATTTATATCCTCGCAATCGCGTTCAAAAATATTTTCCATGCGAATTTTTCTTAGAAAACAATTAAGCGTTGACAGATCTGTTTTATCGAGTTGTTTTGTATTTCCTTTCTTGTCTATTAAAAATAAATAAAAAAATGTAAAATAAATAAATAAAATATATATAAATGTCAATTTAACAATTGCTTTCCATAATTACCAACAGTGCGTAAGAAGATTTATCGATCGATTTCTCGACGGATTTACCTCGCCGAGAGCTAACGCCTCTTCTGGTCGACTCGACAAGCTTCAAGGCCTCTTTTGTGAGGACTGAGGCCCATTCACGAAGCCTGACGTCATCGGGGACTCGTCACTGCTGGTTTGTGGTTTTCTGGGCACTTGCTCGCTCGTATATATATATATATATATGTGTGTGTGTTTGCTGTGTGGCTTCGTATATCAGCGACCGTTAGACGGTAGCATCCGCCAAACACGAGCACGTCAGGATCTGCTGCAGCCATTGGCATCCGATTGCGTCACTTGGAACGCACACATACACACACACACACACACGACACGCGACATACCTGGGACACAGACGAATGCGAGTCCTGGTTCACGCTCCCGAGTCCTTGACGTATATTACAAGATGAGAAAGAGAGACACGATCTCTCGTATTTCCTCGCCAATAAATAATGCCATTAATTTCCTTCCCGGATCCGGTGATCCCAATTTAAAATCGTTTGTCGAGAGTCATTTATCGATTCTCTCGGCCACAATTTAAAAATTAAAAAGAAAATACGTGTGAAAATATCGAAAAGTTGACATATTCTTCTAGGATATTTCGTGTCAAATATATATAAATTATGAATAAAATAAAAAATTATTCAAAACAATTATAAATTGATATTATACGAATAAATATTTTATTATCCAAATCTACGAATCGACGGATTTAATTATTCTCATAAATCAGATAGAACTACAATTTTTTTTTTATTTGTCATATAAATGCTCTCTCTTCTTTTATATAACTTTTTTTTATATTTTCTCTTTGATAATTTCATAATTTTTTATATGATATATAATTGTGCTTAAGCGTGTTACTATAACTGTAAAAGTACAAATAAAGTATAAGTTAAATAGTAAAATTATAAAAAAAAATAAGTTTGAAAATTATAAAATAAAATCTCTCTTAAGAATAATTTAAAATAAATATAATACATTCAAAAATAAATAACTAATTAGAATATTGTTAGATATCCTTTGATGCGACACAATGGCGATAGTTAAGAGAATTATATCTTCTCTCGCTATAAATGTGTCAGATTTCGTAGGTGGGCGTCTTTCATTACCCGCACAAAATCGGCAATTATTATCGAATCATCGGCACAATGTTTTTTTTTCTTGCTTTATTCGAACGCGAGATGCCCGCTGGCGTCTCTCTGTTTCTCTCTCTCTCTCTCTCTCTCTCTTTCTCTTGCACGCGATATGAAAAATGACGTTGTTCTATCCGGACCCCTCATAATGCCGGCTCATGATCCGCCAGCTTTGTTAAGACTCGCGATTTTTCAACGCGCTGTAAAAGAGATAACGTGTATACGCGTGTAAACTAGCGCAATTTTTTATAATTTTGATGATTTTTTTAAATATCGCGATTTTTTAAAGAACTACTGTGACTATACAGTCTCTGTCCGTTGAATGAAATTTTGAAATAACTGTGAGCGCCATTATTGATCTTAAAATCTGTCAGGAACGATCATCAAGCAGAAAGAGTGATTATGAAAAAAATAAAAAAATTATTCAAAATAATTATAAATTGATTATACGAATAAATCTTTTATTACGCAACTCTACAAATCGAATTTGCATTGTTCTCATAAATCAGATAAAACTACAAAATTCTTTTTTTTTTAAGTTATATATCATATAAACGTTCTATTTATCTATAATCTCTTCTTTATATAAATCATATAATAATCTTCTTTTATATAAAGTATATAATATTTTTTTTTTTATATTTTTCCTTTGATAATTTCATAATTCTTTATATGTGCTTAAGCGTGTTACTAAACTGTAAAACACAAATAAAGTATAAGTTAAACAGTAAAATTATAAAAAAAGTTTAAAAATTATAAAATAAATTCTTAAGAATAATCTAAAAGAAAGATAGTACATTCAAAAAATAGTTAATTAAAAAAAAATACTGTTAGTGTTTTAACTATCTCGCAGTATAATTAAAATGTTATAAAGTCAAATATAATATTAAGATATAAAAGCAATAAGAGAAATAATTAGTGTTCTTAATTTAAGATTACGTTTGAAAAAAGTTGATTATAAATAGATAATACATTATTAATTTCTATTTTATTTTGTAATAGTAAAATATAAAAATGAATTAAGACGGAACTAATATACGAGTGCGTAGATGTGTCATATTGAATTTTAGATAAATATATAAATAACTATATATATATATATATATATATATATATATATAAATATACATATAATTAAATAATTAAAAATATTATATATTGTATATAATTAAAAAAATTGAACAAACATTAATAAAGAAGAATAAAATTATATAGTTATATAGAGATATTAAAATATATTTATATTATTAAAATTATTATTTAATAGCTATATAAATAATTATTATTTATTAGAACACTATATTTTGAAATTGAAAAATTAAATTCTTTTATATTATTTATTTCTCTTATTATTTGACATTTTTCTCTCTATATCTCTCTTCCTTCTTATAAATTTATTTGATTGTGTATATGGTTTTATGATTATATTGTTGTATAATTAAGATTTTGCATCCGGATGTGAAAAGCAGAAAATGTCGATTAACTTTATTAACAAAAAAAAAAAGAAAAGAAAAGAAAGGAGAATATTCGGGTC